AGATGAATGAGCCAACCAGATCTTCAATCACACAGATCCAGCACTACCTCCTAAAAAATGATGAGGAATATTTCCAGAAATCTTCAATCAGATTTCGTAGAGAGGAGAGAGCTGCATGAGGAGACCAAAGGAATATTTCGAGGAATATTTCTAATTAAAATTACCAAGTGACTAATAGAACTTTTCCCATGAATATTATACAGAAAATATAAAGACGCATCAATCCTTGAAATGACAGTTTGAGAAGGAAAACGCAGAATGAAATCAAAGAAGGAAACCGAAGGACATACATAATCGAATTCCTTGGAATAGGAAGCTTAAACAAGTAAGAACAGAGGACGTTACACTATGTTTGGATGAAGGAAATAAACTTGGAATTTGGATAAAAGTCAGAATTTATAAATTGACATGCACCAATTCTTTTGTTTGGATTCATAAACATAGAAATTTAGAATTTCCGCGTGAAAAAAAACTTGGAATTTGGGACCTTCAATTCCCAAGTTTAAATTCCATGTAAATAGATGTCATTTCCCAATTTCTATGATTGAAAGTTCAAAAATAACAAATTCCGTATTCAATTGCATATTCTTTTAGGTTAACCAAACAAGAAAATTCACAAATTCTAGAAAATAAAATCCCGTCATTTCAATTACTGTCATTTTAAAATTATTTAGTAATCTTAAATTTCTTCATCCAAACATAATGTTACGTAATTCTTTATTTTCTTCTAACAAGCTCAATTAAAATCAGAGAAAACATAAAAACGAAAGTGTGAATAGAATTACTACGTTTGGATAAAGAAATTTAAGATTACTAAGGAATTTAAAAATGACGGAAATTAAAATGACGAGATTTTATTTTATAGAATTTGTAAATTTTTTTGTTTGGTTAGCCTAAAAGATCAATGGAATTGAATACAAAATTTGTTATTTTTAAACTTTCAATTATAGAAATTGAGAAATGACACCTATTTACATGAAATTTGAACTTGGGATTTGGAGGTCTCAAATTCCAAGTTTTTTTTTCCATGTGGAAATTCTAAATTTCTATGTTTATGAATCCAAACAAGAGAATTGGTATTTGTCAATTTATAAATTCTGACTTTTACCAAAATTCTATGTTTATTTTCCTCATCCAAATATAGTGTTATGGAGTAGGAATACAGGAAATCTGAAGGCGTAAGTAACCTTTTTTATGTTCTTGGAATAACATGCAGTTGAAAACATATCAGATGAACACACGCAGGCGGGAGGAGCTGTTATCTTTCTTTACAGTAGCTTCAAGCTTGGCTTGGAAATGTCAAGTCAAGTAGTGCTCTAAATAGTCTACTTGTTAAGCATGCAAATTAGAAACAAAGTTTTAATTATTAACACCCCACAAAATATTGAATATATTACATATTAAAATTTAATATTAAATTACTTACATACCCTAAAATGCTATGATAATTTTGACCTCATAGGTTTTAAAAATAAAACAAAATTCCAAATACACACCAATTCACTTTTTTTTTTTTAACAAACTTTCCCAAACCACTTTTAACCCAAAATTATTTATCAAAAGCTACTCAAGTCTTTCACGTCGTTGGAATATACAAAGTTGAACATAAATGAGTCTAACTCACTAGTTTAGGCAAGAAATTAGCAGAGAAAACAAAGCAAAGTAGTCCAGAATTAGAGGTTAAGGTCATATTTTCTTCCAATATGAGTTTCTAAATTTTCCCAGCAACCAAACAAGTCAATCTACGAAATCCTTGTCAAAGGAGCTCAAATTATCCTAATTTTCCACGAGACTAACATCCCAATACCCTAATGAAAATAAAACTCGAGTACAATTCAAAGACCATTGCTACTAGTTTTAACCAATATTTGTCTAAATCCAGACTGGAAATATATGCACTGGTTCTTCGATAGAAATTAAAGATGTGTTGGAGGTTTCTCTGCTAATATGAGTATTTGATCCACCAACAGAAGCTTTTCTCTAATATGGTGTAGAAGAAGAAAGTTGACTGTTAAGTGCATTTGTGCTGTCTAACTCAATTAGTGGAGGACCACACCTTTATTCTCTACAGCCTTGTAAATTAGTGTCGGTTGTTAATAATTCAATTCATATGGGGCCATTGACCCCATTGGTTTCAGTACATTTTTATGGAATGTCATATTCTTGAAGGACGTTTGCTGAAATTTTGAAATGTTGTGGCTTGTAAGAGTGTAAGAATGTGAACTTGAGATTGGATGTTTTGACAGTGAATGATTAAATCCAATTGGAATAGGAAAGCCCTTATGAGGAGTTGAATGCTAATCCTTGTTTATGAAGGATTCTGTTATAACATTTAAACTGATATGGATTGGAAAACATAAGTTGTTTTCTACAAGGATTTTAACAAGGAATCCTCATCAAGTTATAAGAAGGATATATATGTTGTAACCTCTGCTCTCACAGATGTATGTGCTCTATTCGGAACTAAGTCATATTCTTGGTTAGAGCTTGAAACTATCTGATAGAGAGGAGAAGAGTTGCAGTGCGTTGAGATCGGATAGCAGCATCCATGGCATCTTCCCGTTCATCAAGTCAGTGAAGTTGCAATGTTTTATATGAATAAGAACTTGTGCTTTACTTGATTGTGATTACTATAACTTAATCTTGTTCTTGGCTATAAAAGTTTAACAGGACCTGCATTAAGGTGACATGCAAAAATAAAACCTCTCACCAAACCTTATAACTTTTGAGTTCTACTTTTAGAATCCGACAATTTATAAATTCTTGTTTAATCTCTCCTTGCAACTCTCATTTAACTAGGAATTTTGATTCAAACGTCTTGAAATTGCACTGAGTTGCTAAGGAGATTAAAACATTGAAGATCATGTTTTGATCTTTCTTGCACTTGATTCAAACATTTGGGCACTGATTTTTATTTATCAACTTATAAGCCCGTACAAGGCATTCCTTCTTCCTCCTATCACTGTGAAATGCATTCTCAACACACCCCCTTATGTGTGACGAATTCTTAAGCCTAACACATGAACAACACAAATGGAGTGACAAATAAAAATCTTCTTGTATGAGCTTATAAGTTGATTAATAAATTTTTTGATTCAAACATTGAATTTGCAGGACACATTTTCAATACTTGTCCAACAAGTCTCCGATATGATGATGGATCATCAGTGCAACTCTCATCATATTTGCAAAGGGACAAGTTTTGTTCCATAGGAAATGACGTTGGTTTTGCACCAAGATAGCCTGCATCCACTAGGATCTCCAACGAATATTTGTGAAAGAACAACGCCCCTGATCTAGCCACCACATTAACCCCAAAGCCAAAAAGGTCCAAGCAATCATACACAAACATAATATGACTAACTGAGCCAACACAAATATATGGTATAATAACGACTCATCAAATACCTCCAAACTTAGCTCTTTGTTTGTCCTCAAGCAAAACAAAACTCAAAAACAAAAATAAAAACTAACAAACTAAAGACTTAAAACAAAACCTTACTAATACAAAACTTTCATATTCAAGTTGCAATCCATAGGAAACGTTAAAAATTAAAACACCTTTCCAAAAGTTCCAGTCAATTCCACTATAAAGTCTAAACCATTTAGAATCAATTAGAAAAGAATTCATGAATTTCCTTTGGCGTAAAGTGAATCAACATGGTTAAGGAAGCTTGACTAAACCTCTTACCTCTCGTCCTTTTTATTCAATACTTCACACATACTAACTTGAAACGTAACTATTATTTTTCTTTCGATTTCTTCTCCTCTTTTTTTTTCCTTCTTTTTTCATATTTTTTTTCAGTAATAGTAGTGGTCGGGCAATGTCAGTTCACTTACGCTTTCAATCCAACCCATGCAACAAGCTTTAAGTCAATGACTCTCAAACCACTAAGGCTTTAAGGCACTAGGTGTAGAACATCCCTAAGAACTTGGTAACTCAAGTTGAAAATATTATGAAACCAACTAACCATCCTGCCCCATAACAAAACTCTACCGTTTGACGCAAGAATCATTACTGATTAGGTAGGACTGGCCTAGTTATTAAGCAAAGCCTATGGTGGAACAATTATTACTTTATTTAGAACAAAATTGACTCTAATATAGGATTAACCTTCACTATGTCCATTTGTTCTAACGTTTAAAATAATCTATAGATATTAACTTAAAAACAAAAAATTTTAACTGACAGAAAAAAAATTCTAAAAAATTTTCTTATTTCCCACCCTCAAATTTATATCACACATTATCCTCAAGGTGTGGAGAATAAAACAAAGATAAAGATACGACAAAAAAAAATAAACTATAAGTTAAAAACAACCTGAACTAAGATAAATAAACTAAACTATGTAAAAACATGAAAAGAAAACTAAACAGAAAAGGAATTAACAGAAAAACAAAATAATTGAGAAAACAAATAGTAAGGAAAGATATAACCTGGGGGTTCGAACTGAGGACTAGGAAGAACAAGAGGTGCTGCTCACCTCATCTAGTAGCAGCTGCTCATCTTCGAAACCCTCAGCCGTTTTTGGCTCTCGCATTTTTCCTCTCTAAGTCTAAACATTGCACCTCGAGCCCAGCGCCAAATTGCTCTTCCTTTCATAAAAACTTTGGTTGCTGCAATCAAAACCAAAGCTTCCTCTCTAAAACTCTCAGATCCGAGCCACAACCCCCAAAATTAAACTCGACTCCTCCCCAGCCCCTCTTCTCTCATCTTCGTTCATCTCCTCAGCAGATTTCCCGTACCATTCCGACGCCACAGAGGTAGAATGCAGCCATCCTTTTCTCCATTTCTTCTCAATTTCTTCTTCTGGCTTAGAATCATAGTAAAATCGATACTAATCTCTCTTGCATGTTTGTGTCATGTGGTAGGAACCTCGTTTGGTAAATGAAGAGAGCGTGAAAATTGAAGGAATGACGGAAAATCATAGATCCAACGGTCAAAATTGGGAGCGGAGATATCAAAGACCTGCGGATCCATCCGAGATTATAAGGTATATATATATGCCTCTCTTTTGCTTTTTTTTTTCACATTCGAGCAGGAACCAGCTTGATCTGTGAATGTGCTATATGCGTATGTTGGTTTAAAATTGCTGAATATAATGAACTGTGTGATTTGGGCCTGTGTATCCGTGTACGAATATGATCTCTGCATGCTCATAATTGTCCTTTGTGTTTGTGCATGTCTCCTGATGATGAATGTTGAGCAAAATTTTGCATGAAACTTGATCTGCGATATGTGGGCCCTTCTGCACACTTGGATCCCGGATTGTAGAAGCTTCCAAGCAAACCCCACTGTAAGCAATCCTGAATCTCAATTCATTTTATTTTTCGTATCGGCACTGCCTAATCCCATGAATGTAGAAGAATGGATGATGAATGTGCTGGGGTGAATGAATGTTGATTGCAGCTGAATGCAAAATTTAGTCTAATGTGCGTGTGTACTGGATATTTATGGCCAATCAAATCCGAATGCAACCGGCAAAAACACACATTAAAAATCTAATTAGAATAAAACCCAAAATAAAATAATGATTAACCAAATTTTTTTTTATGTTTTTGTGTTTTTCAATTTTCTTTTTATTTTTCATATATGTATTTGTTTTTTTATTTATTTTGATGTGATTTTTGTAATTGAAATAAAAGCAAGAAAACTAAATTGAATGAAATTAAAAAGATAAGAGTTGGAAAAATTGGGTTGCGTTCCACTTAGTGCTTTAGTTCACGTCTATAGCTAGACGTAGAGGAAGTAATTGATGATCACGTCACTTGATTTTTTAGAGTCAACCACTCCTTAATAGCATCATTGGGCAAAAGTAGGTACGGAATGAGATGTTGTTTATCAATTATGCGTTTTAGGTGAGTGTTTGAATCCTCCATATTTGGCCTTCTATGTGAATGAAGCTTTATAATCAAATAGAATCCCTTCCCCGTATAGAATTTACCCTGCTTGGAGGATTTTCCATGAATTTCCTTAGGTTTAATGGGCTGTGCAGGTGCAGTGTTTGTGGAAACAGCTAAAACATTTTTATCAGTGGCTGTCTGTCGTGTATCCAAGTTTAGTCTCCAAGAACTGACCATGTCATTTTCCAGATTATGATTTGTTGTGAACAGCCCTGTCCAACTTGTCAGTTTCAATACATTAATGCAGCTCGGTGAGTTGCTGTGTAGTCTCGGGATTGTGTATGTAAGGAATATGGACTTGAGTTAAAACAGGTTCTGGGGAAATTTCAGGATCATCAAGGGGAGTTTCCTCCTTTGGGCGTGAATAAATGGCAGATTGCTCCTCAATATCTGCACTAATTTCCTCTTGATCATGAAAGCTTTTCTCATAGTTTAATGCTTGAATCTGAAATCCATGATTGGTTATTTCTATGTACAACTCAGTTGATTCCAACAATCTATAGAGTTTGTCCTCTCCCAAAAGCTCTTGTGGCACATTAGACTGCTCAAAATAGTGCTCAAGATGCTTTTGCAAGCTTGGGGTGTAGAACTTTGATAATGAGTTGTTCAAATTTCTTTTTGAGTCGTTTCTCATATTGATATGCTCTTGGACAGACCCTCTGGAAAATATTTCCTTTTGGGACACTGCAAAATATCATGGGTTTTCAAACAGCCAAGTGCACAAATTGTAGGTTTAAATCCTTAAAAACTCCATTATCCAGATTTGACCCATATAGGTGGTCCTCCGGGTTGTATATTGAATTTAGGAGGAACAAATTCCATTGTTGCACAAATTGTAATCTAAAAAAGATAAAAAATAAAATCTAGTAAATAAAAAGATATATACAAAAATAATTAAATAAGAGTTGATAAACACAAACTATTTAAAACAATCTTCGACAACGGTGCTAATTTCTTGTTAGGAATTTTTACCATCTGCAAAAGGATAAAAACACTTCAAATACTTGCAAGAGTACAAAGTAATTGTAGTATAGATGGCTCTAGTAAGGTCGTTATCTACAAGGATTAAATGAATAATTTGTATCAAACCAAATCTTAATTAATTACTTAAAACAAAGTTTTGGAAAGGAAAAAAAATGATTTTGTGATTTCAAATAATAAAAACGAATTTAATAGAAAATAATTAAATAAAGTGACAAAATAAAATAAACTAAAAGAAAACGGTTTTTGAAAATTAAAATGTAAAAGCTTAAGGTTCTGCTGTCATCTTAACAATCCTATATAGTTCTTCCAATTACTTAGGAATTAAACATGCATATTTGAATGTTAGGTTTTCTTAATATATGCCTACTTGGACTCCCAACATAAAACGTATATCAAACATGCAATCTGTGTATGGTATTCAGATCTAATCTAAAAATGCATGACTTATTAAGTTTTGTGAAACCTTTTGAAAAACCATACAATCTTTAAGACGTGATATTCATCTTAGGTGAGCTTGCACATATTAACCATATGAAGCCTTCATCAATTTCAAGAACCGACATTCGACCAAAATTGCATCAAATTAGTTTTCTAAATATCCTAATGGTAGCTTAAGCATTAAGATAATTAGATAGTTTAAATCGATGATTAATAATTCAAACCTACATGCATAATATCATAAGCAAATTGAAAATAAACTACATATTCTTGTTAAGGCTCATGACTTTGCCCTAGCAAACAGAAATTAGTTATGAACAATCATTAACAAAATATTATTAAAAAAAAGATAGCTTGAAAATAAACTTGAATCCAAAAGCTCTCTAAAGTCGTGGGTCATTTCTTCTCCTTTTTCCCCTCCTCCAAAAAAGCCTAATGGTTAAAAAGCCTTATTTATACTACTACATAATTAAAATCCTTACTAGAAAATGTCTTCTAAAAACTAGGAAATATAATAGAATAAGATTACTAGGAAATGCGTTCCTATTCTAACTTTGGCAAATCTGCCTAGCCACAAATCAGCCACGTTTTTGGACTTCCAGGCTTCAACATGACTTGTATTAAATCCAAAAGACATCATCTTGGATGCCAAAAAGCCCAAATAAACCCAAAACGTCACTAATAAACCCAAAACGTCACTTTAACAGCATTGCGCCGTGCTCTTTTATTTCATCGCCTTAAATAAACCTTGGGTAGAAAATTATGAAACTTTGACATGAACAGGTTGAGAGACACGTGAATGTTCTCCAATTTGAATCACTCCAAAATTCATTCGTTTCATCATGTTTTGCCCCGGAGGAAGTCGAATTTTCTACATTGAAAATACATAACAAAGTATCAACGTTCACACAAAATAACCAATAAAGATAAGGGTAAAATATATAGTATAATAACGACTCGTCACTTCCCCCTTAAGGTGGAAGCTTGCAAGCTTAAATCCGATAAGATGGTCGCTGACAATTATAGTGGTGCCCATCTTGTTCTTGGAACTATGACTAGTAATAGTCATAGCCCGACTCCAATTAGCATGGTTGTCTCCATCCAAAATTTTGGACGCACCAATGCGATTTCTAGGGAACGTGTTGGGTGGTCCAGCGGATCAGAGAGCCTTCCAGTCTGCTGTCCAAGCTGATATTTCTTCCTTTAAAAAGGAAAAACAAAAGGAAGAAGAAAATAACATAACACAGAAACACACAGTCGCGCACACAAAGAAAAACTTGCTGTCCAAGCTGATATTTCTTCCTTTAAAAAGGAAAAACAAAAGGAAGAAGAAAATAACACAGAGACACACAATCGCGCGCACACAGAAAAACTTAACACGTCAGACAAAAGATGACTGGATGACGATTCCTTTTTGGTAGAGATTCTTGCAGTTATAGCATCTACATTTGGCAATCATTAGTTGGTCCTGTAGAAATATATATTTAGTTGACGATTACAAATAAACACACAAGCTGTTCAATACGAAATCAGACTGAAGAACTATGAATAAGATGAATAAATCAAACTTTTAAATTTGACGGTTCAAGACTGAAAAATTGGAGAGTGAAATTAATAGATGCTTAATTAGAGAATGAAGTACATACGGTTTGATCACGATCATTCTCCTTTGAATCACTTAGCATTAGCACATCACCAATTTCCTCTGCAATTTGTAGTGTTTCTAGTCTTGGATCACTTTGGAGTAACCCATCAGGAGATATCTTTAACTTGATCAGCTGGCAATCCTCGACAATCCAAGTTTCTAAGGATGGGACTTTGAAAATGAAATTTCCCGTGCAAAATCCTTGCAGACTTGGTAGACCAGAAAGTTTCAAAATGTTGCAAGCAACTGAAAGTAATCTCATTTTCTGGATCATCTCTGTTGCACACTACTATTTCTACCATTCTTTCACAGGACTTTACTTCCAACTTCTTGAGTTGCAGCAAATTCATAGCCACGGGACAACCCCATATCTCCAAAGTGGTCAGATTCCTAAAGGATATTAAAGCTCAAGTTAGATTCTCTAATCCATCACAAAGGTTCAGGGATAGAGCTCCCAAGTCTGGAAAAACAGTGACCCCTAGTTGGGAGTTTTCTATTCCTAGATGTATCAGCTCTGGCATATCGATGAGCCCCAAAACCTTTACATGTGGGAGAGCCTCAACTTCATGTATTTGCCCGCTACTACTTCCTTGGTGGTCGTGGACAAATAAGTCTTTCCAAAGAGCAGAGAGTACACGGAGAATTTCAAGATTCCGTAAATTCTCAAGGATTACATATGACTTGGGATGAGAAGTATTATATAATTTTTGCGTATCTTATATGTTGGTTGATTATTGGGAATGATGATTAAACTGTGACATAGGCTTCTGCTTCTGAATTATGTTTGCACGTTCATAAATCCCACTTCAATAGAAAAACGATTATTTGTATTTTTATGTAATTTGTTAATTACCTAAATTCGAGTCTCGTCTTCTTAGTTGTCTCAATGTCACTCACATTTAAATTTGATGTCAAGGGCTGGAGAATGAATTCTTCATCCTTATATCAAATTTAATGGTGAGTGAGCATCCATTTCTTGATGAATTGGTTGGCGGGAGACTTTATTGAATTTGCATAGGTTGTATAAATATGTTTGCAAATTCTTTCCTTTGAAAGGAAATTGATAATAAGATATTCAACTCAGGTAGTTTGTTCTTTAGCAAGGCTAAAAACGCTGTTTACGTTTGATTACAATCCAAATTAGATGCTGTCAATTTAACAAATTCAGATGAAGTGCGAATACTTTGTAAGAAGGTGCGATGAAAAAAATACATTTATCTGGTTTTTGCAGACAGAAACAGTCGTCATTCTATGACGGTTTAATATCTTGAATCTTGATTACTAATCCCTTGCATTCAGTGTTCTAAAATGCCCCGCCTAAGTGCTAGGCCTTTGGGATCATCACGATTAATTCTTAGGCATTTAAAAAATAATTAATAACACATACATATGCCTATGTGCCCACTTAGACCGCTTCGGTCTCGACTTGCACACAAAAAAAAAATTGCTAAAATTTGTTGCGTATTTGGATAAACACTCATTAATATGTTATATTACTTTATAATTTATAGATCATTTTATTTTACAATTTATGTATTTGTTTTAATTATAAGTAAATATGTATTTATATGTTATGTAATAAATTTAATTTAAATTAAAAAACACCTAGGCCCCGTTTGGATACCTAGTCACCAGGCTCTTACTCGCGGCTCACGTCTTATAGAACTTTGCTTGCATTGTTGCCTCAATGGGTCTCTACTATATATGCTTCAATTATCATCGCCAGAGATGCCAACTAGGGTGAGGGTGAAGGTGTTGGTGTTGGTGCACTAGGAGGAATCGCGGAAAATAGCCTCGAGAAGAGTTTGTCTGCGAGAACCTCATTGGCTGCGTCGGATGGGTGGAATGCATCCCAGAATACGTAGTCTTTCCGGTTGGGGCATAGCTTTGAATTAGGCAAGCATAGCCCCCCAATGCTTGTGTCCACATTGCAACACGAAGTGTTCGAAACCTTAAACCCTGAAAAATTGTTACATACATTGTAAATAAAACCTGTCTCAATCGAATTTGAATCTACAGTTGAATAATCGAGTTTGGTTACCATAAGCGGTAGGGTTTTGGATTAAGTCGTAGACGTCTCCATACGTGTCTGCAAATGAGAGATTTGCCTGTGGGAGTTGCCTGTTAAGAGAGGCAATGAGCTTTTGTACTTTGGAGTTGAATTCTAGCACCCACTCGTTCACTCTTTTCAAGCACTGGCCTGTCTTTGATTTCACCCTCTGAGAAGGAATGCAGCCAAGTGGCCCGAGACCATGGAACATCATCTTTCGGGCACCCAGTTGGTAGAGCCTCTAGCACAAACAATTCAAACATGCACTGTTAATTAACTAGGGTTTATGGCTGTAAATTGGCTAGAAAGAGCTTGATCAAGTTTGCACCGGTTTCGGATTGTGTTTGACTCGATGAAGCTCGTGAAAGAAACAAGCAAAACCTACGCTTGGCTCGATGAGAAACAAGCCATACTTGAAGATTGTTATGTTTGGCTTGTAAAGCTTGTATTTTTCACGAGTCTACTCGAACCAGTTTAGATTCAAGAAGTTTATTTGGAATGAAAGATCATGTTCCAGCTTCAATTCCCATCAGTTTAATGGTAATTCTCTTCTCAATACTAGAAGAGGTGTGAGAGGTTTTAAGATTGAATCCTTTATTATCGTTTTCGTTTTTTTATTTAACTAGTAGTGATTACTAACCTTAAGTTGTCCCTCTAAGGTGCCGATCAATAATTCCACAAATTCATCGTAAGTGTACTGCTGACTATCAGCTAAAAAGGGTTGCAGGTAATTGTTGACATAATCATTGCTGCCTGAAAAAGTGCAAAGAAAATGAATAAATACGATATTTATACAAGCAATTGTCTAAACTACTTTAATTACGGGACATGAGAATTTAGACATGGGCCCAAGGAAGTTAATCATTGACTTAACCTACGTTTACGAAAAATAATTAGTTCTTTTCATCTAAAATAAAATTTCATTTGTCTAATAAAAAAGTACCAATTCCAATGAAGTAGATGGCTTCACTGCAAAGCTTGGCTGCAGCCTCTGCCCCAATTTTAGCCTTGATGGCTTCCTTTGTCTTGTTGAATTTTTGTATTTGATCATCAAACGACATTCTCTGAATCTGTCACGAAGAAAAATAACAAAATAATTAAGATTATAAAGCATTTACTCTTGCATCTGAAGTCGTAGGTTCAACGATATGATCATAAACATAAGAGGGATTAGTATTATTGTGATTACAAAATAGAGCCCAGTGTCATTGAGTATTCCTGCTCCACCAGATGCATAATTAACCCCTTTAAGCAGTGCATCATCATTCTGTGCCAAGGATAGATAAGGTGGTGGTGATGGAATCCCAAGCTTTTTGGCTACAAAAGATAAAAAAAAATCAGTAAGTTCCTGAAGACACAAAGGAAAACAAAAATATGGACGTTGGATGAGTAGTATAAGAAGTAAGGGCACTACATATTATGTCGCCAATGGTTCTTCCATTAGTGAACCTCCCAGTAGCTCGACCACCGGCATAATCGACACCATACCAAGGATAATTTGATTTTGCAAGAGAATACGACAGATAGTTGTTGTTCCCTACTTCTGTCAAGGAGTCACCGAAAACGAAGGTCACGGTAGACGCTGCCAATGAAGCGACGGCTAACATGGTTGTGAAAATGGTGGTAGCTAAAGCCATCCACATTGTCACTTCCCTCTTTGAATCTCTCTCACTAGGAAATAAAGTGGCAGTTAGTGAGGCAAAAATTTATAGTAAATTGATCATGAAATTTTGGTCATGTCTAAATCCCAAAGTTTGGACAAATTAGGTGATTGATTAATGAGATAATCTTGAGGAGTTGGCCTACTCAGTTGCCTTAAAGTCAGCACAGTTTGATGTTATTGAAACCGATTACTAGTTGCTTGTATATTTCAGAAGTATGGTTGTAAAGCATAAGTCACAAGTATGGTTGTTAACATCACTCTAGCTAAGTCATGGGTTAAAGTGATTTTCTCAACCATACTCTTGTCTTCCATACCTTGTCACCCACTTAGGTCTTTTGTCGATATTTCTTCCTTGTTTCTAGGAACCACTTTACTTGTTATTAATATTTGTTTTGTCCACTTATTAGGACTGATTTGGTAGTGAGGTATGGCTCCTTTTACTCTTGTAAAGGATACAATGTGAAATACAACACAAGATTTGAAACCAAACTCAACAGATGTGTTACTTGTTAGGTGGATATTTCTTCAGAGTGTAAAGATTACAAAATCTCGACATTAACAAAAAGCATGCACAATGGTGTTAAAATTCACTTGTTCTGCTCTGAGTTTTCTTATTTGGCTGCCTACTTTGGGTTAATTGGATGCAAACTAACTTAACATCCTTAATAATGACATCATTACGAACTAGGATCCTCTCCTGAGCAATTCCCTAGGGATCCTGCAATCATGTCCGTTCATCGTATATCGTGCGATCAGAAATCATTTAAAATTTAAATTTTAAAATTCAAATATGAATAGTACCTAACGAAAACTGACCGCACGATATAAAATGAAAGGACAAGATTGCGGGATCCCTAGGATCCTTAGGGAATTGCTCAGGAGAGGATCCTGGTTCCATCATTACCACTTAGTACTACAATCTTGTGGTAGGTTTTGGATTTAAATCTCGTAAATAGCGAGTTCCGTACCAAATTATTCCCCCACTATTTCGGTATAATTGACTACTCACAAGCTCAACTTTCAAAATCATACCTAACGTGTTGTCACTTGTTAATTTGCATTCCAAATTATACATCAAATTGTCACGCAGAAATAAAATGAAAACAATCAAAGGAGAAACTGCTCCAACCATATAGTTTAAAACTATGTGAATTTGGAGAAGTTTTGTTTCATATAATGGAGAATATTTGAAAGTTTTGGATTGTAATATTTGAAAGTAGCAGATTGCCCTAGTGATTAGAGTCTTCATTTTCAACCAACTCTATCTAGTCAAAGCTAACATCGCAACATGTAATGAAATGTTAAAAACAATAATCATAAAAGGAGCCATCAAGTTCTTGCACACCAAAACAAAATTCACATTGCATATATATAATGTCTAAAGGGCTACTTTCCGCCCATCTTGTTCTTGTTCTGTCTTCCCCTTGTTTCCGGTGCATTGGGAAGCAGAAGCCGCATCAGCCAACATATTTGACTCATCCCATATGCGATTCTCCTCGCCTATAGTTTGACCGTCCCTGGTCGCACTCGGTACAGAAGCAACATCAGTTTGCGGAGACTTTGGAGACTTGTTGGATTCACAATATAGTGCGACTTTCCCCAGTGTCGCGTGGCTTATCTAATGCAGCGCCAGTCTTCCCCTCCTCAGAATTGGTTGCACAAAGCACACGACTGCAAGATCCAGCTTGCAAAGCTTTTAGGACCGGTGGTTTAGGAAACAATTTTCTCAATATGTCATCCCTAGACTGGTTGGCCTTCATGTCAACAAAGACAGCATCTGAACACAACAACCCCGAATTGGTCCCAAAACTTGCTATTACTAACGTGTTACCGACCTTCTTAAGAGCTGCCGCGAGCACATTCACATCTAACCAAACAGATTTGCGGCGGCTCCTGCTTTTGAGGGTGTCATAAAACTCCAGCGGCAGCAGTTCAGTGATATCTTCCCTCTCCACCAACTCACGGAGTAAATTTAGACCACTACCACGATTCACATAAACCAAGCATAACAAGACGACCAATCTCAACATGAGTAGTGAATAGCAGTTCTTCCAATCTTCGATGGACTTTGTAATCCATTCAACCATATCCCCCTTATTGAAAATGCACTCCCGAGCCACATCAATCACAAAACAACAGATGCCATCCAAAGATGGTCGAACATCAGCCCCCCTCAAACTTAAGCTGGTATCTTCCCCTTGGTATATAAGCCACTCGGTAAAACAAGAACTTGTAGTGATAGCATAACCCCGAAAGCAAGTTGCCCATAGCAGAAGGCGCTCTACAAGGTATAAAAAGCAACCAGGTGTTACATAATCCTTCACAGCCCTCCAGTTCACATAATAAGTTTCAGCTAAAGCTTCATGGAACCTCAACATTACATACACCTCTTTCGGTTCTTGACCGGTGTTTCCACGTTCAATATTCCCATAGAGATTCTTGATGAAAGCCTGCCATGGCAGGTTGCAGCTAAGTTTTCTCACAAGCTTCTCATACAGCTCATTAGTAAGCTTACCAGTCCCCAGAATGACCATTACAAGTTTCCCAATTTTCCCAAAAGATAACTCATTCTTCGATCTGGTTAACTCCTGAATTACTTGTTTCAGCATATTCTTTGAAGCATCAGTTCTTCGAAGAGAAATCATATTCTCCCTCAATGAATTCCTCCAATCCAAAGGAAATACCAAAGGAACAATAATTTCGATCGAAAATGTTATAAATTTGTGCAATCTCTTGGCATCATTTAAGTTCAAACATTTTGATTGCAAAAGATACACCGAGACATCATAGATATAGGTAACGCACCTGCTTTGACAGAACACTGACTCAGCATTATTGACGGGAAACTTGTAGAGCACTTTCAGCTTGTCCAAAACCTTCATGCCAACAGAGAGCAATTTTGAACTCCAATAATTTCTAGCGGCTGAAGCAAGCTGGCGAGCATCAACGGAGATCAATTTCCCTTGATTTCCAAAATATCTTTTGTTCAAACCACGAACCCAATCAGCATCAGGAATCAGTAAACCATAAACTGGACTCTGATTAAGATCCATTGTCCAAACTCCTAAGTAATTCAAGCAAAACTCTCCATAACTTTTGTATTTACTAACTTCCTGGGTTTCAAGGCATCTGAGATATTCAAATATGTGAGCAATTTTATCCTTCCAAAAATTCCAGAAGTAAATCAACGAGTCCATGGAAACTTGATTTTCAGGTATTCCACTTGCTGAACACTTTATCAGATCATCAACCAACATTTCTTCCCACACATACCGATCGGCACTTGAAGAAAGATGAGCATCCAGTATATATTAAGTCAAGCAATAAATACGAAGATTCACGTCCAACAAATAGTAAACCCAAAATAGGAAAAATTGATATAGATCCAATTTTGTGAGGCACTGTTAGGAATAATCCAGTTGTATGAAATAGATCCAATGACTAGGATTGCACATCAACATATTTTTATTTTCATACCAATATATCCCTAAAATTATAAATTGTTATAAATATGTAAATGCACATAATCCCTCATGGGATTAATAGTTGAACGAATTCCTTAATGGTAGGATTTAAACAAATCCATTATATGATAACTTCAACTCTCCCGTAAGAATTATAGGTTTATGGCGACTGTTGCTGGGCATCAAGTGGGAGTATCATCCCTTCCCCTTTACAAAAGTTATTGCAGCAAAGATGGCAACCTGTTGTTCCATGAGTTGCAGGTGGCTGCGCTTCGGCTATTATTCAGGGAAACTCAATTGCATTTCAGTCCTCATGTCCGTTTTAGTATGGTTAAAGGGATTGCGACTCATAGGCAAGGTGTGGTGTGGGAAAGTTATCTGGATGCCACACTTGATTTCATTGGTGTTTATCTACCTGTATCATAGATTTTTCTATTTATCTACCTTATATATATACATATACATTACCTCTATTATATATTAATGGTGTTTTATCTACTTCTATCACATTCTTTTTTATAATCTATCTTAGATTAATTGTTAATCCACATATACTATAGGTTTTTGTTCACAGGTATAAAGTATTTGTCTTCGTATATAGTAGATATATCTGGAAGTAGATAATATTTTTGTTTATCTACCTGTACCATAGGTATTTGTTCATAGTCTACCTCACATGTTTTTGTTCTTTATAATCTACCTCTATTACAGATTAATTATAGTAATAACATCACAGGTTTTTACCCTTCACAATTATTTAGTTTTTGATGAACTTATCATATTTATTATATATGAATTTTTAAATGTTTTCTTTTATTTGAAAGTGGGTAGATAAAGCATTCAAATATTAAAATTTAGTAAATATGAATATATTGTTATTTTTACTCTAAGGGGAAAAATAGACATAATAAAAAATCAAATAAAACTGGACTTGATTTGAAAACAGTGGAATTTTTTGAACTTGGATCAAAATGCCCCATATAAAAACTGGAAAGCTAAAATTAACAGTTATTAAAGAGTCATACCTGCTCTTTCATACTCTCCCAAATCGGAAAAACATCTAGCTGCGGAATCTGCCTTGCCTATAGCATCAAATATATCAGCAGCTTCCTTAAGAATGGTCTTGACCTCCGCAGGATTTGAAGTACGCATTCGATCGGCGTTAGCTTTAAGGCCAGCAGCTTTGGACCTCCTTTCCCAATAAGTATCACCAGCTCTTTCAAAGCACATTGTGGCCATTTCGTAGTTATGTTCATGATAGAGCTGCAAGAAAACAAAGATAAAGGATTCCGTAAATATTACTGAAAATAACGGTGTTACATCATAAATAAATTATTTTAGAGGTGGGATTTTATTTAACGATGAGGATGACGAATAACAAATCAAATAAACTCAGGAATATTACATGTCTAATACAACAATTCTTTGTTCCTCTTGAATATTATAGAGTAAATAATGCAAACCTTAATGCCTCGTGATTTCCACTCCTCAGGACTACTAGCAACTTGCATTGCCTGCGCAAGGGAATCGTCCAGTTGTCTAACCTGTACAAGACATTTCTTCTTCCAATAGTCAAACATGGGCTTGGAGAACTCTTCTCCATTCTCGCAAAACCATAATCTTTGTCTTGTCCGAGTAACAGCAACATATAATTGCTTCAGTTCAGAGCATAGGATGTTGTGCCCTTCACGGAAACTTGGAGGTCGAGGCAATGTTGAATCAAGTAGATCTTTCTTCTTCATGTAATCATATATCACCCTCCATTGCTGTTTTAGTGGCGATGATCCAAAAAAGTTGTACAAGAGTACATCCTGCAGACACGAATCAAAAGCAAATATAAATTTAAAAAACATAAAAAAAGATCCAAAGCACTGAATATCGTAATTAATAAAAGCCCCTTGCTTTGTTAAGTGTAGCCACAAAAAAAAGAGATGAAAAGTGCTATCAGTCACCTGGAATTCAAGCCCCTTGCATTCCACTATGGTCAGGACAAGAGCCTGCTTCCCAACGATTTTGAAAATTTCTTTTTGAGCACCAACATCACGCACCAAAATAACTTGCTCTGCTCCGAAGCCAACTATGTTAGAATTATCAGTTCCACTATTTCCAAAAATTTTTATGATTGCATTTTCATCTCTGGATTCAAGCAGTACTGGAGCTTCCCCATATATTAGACTGGTTTCAGGTTTCAAAACATCAATAGATTGAGGGAAAAAATGATAAAGTAGTTCAACAATGCTCTGTGATAATTTCAGAACGCCAGCATGCGTACGGAAGTTTTGAGTCAAGTGAAATATTTCTGAGATTTGTCCCTTTTCTTTTCTTTCCTGCTTATTACCTCTTGATTCCAATAAAAACTTCTCGTGGAACAAATGTCGCATATCTTCAAACCTAAAATCAATTCCCCTGGCAATGGTCTGTGCCGTATCACCAGAAAAAACAAAACCCTCTTCGACATTGTTGCACATATGCTTAAACAGAGCAATTTGGCTCATGGTGAGATCTTGAACTTCATCAATATAAACAAAATCCATTTGATCGCCTACAAATTTTTCATGCCTGATCCGACGGTGTAGATCAATGACAAAATCAGCCAAATCAAATTCACCTTTTTCCGACTTCATTTTTTCATAAGCCTGACATATTTCGTATATTACTTCTCTCTTTTGCCTGCTTAAATTGGAAACCCGGCCCTCTGACAGTTGAACATAATCCTCCCTACTGAGTCTGCCATCACCTGCTTCTATGGCTCCTAAACCACCTTTAATATGGGATATAATCTCGGTAAAGACTCTTGAAGCATCAAGCTTCTTTGTTAACTGCTTATTAAAATGGGGCCAGTAAGATGAACTGAACCTCTCATAATCAACCTCCTTTGTCCAGATGGTCTGCAATGCAACTGATCTTGAGCTTCTCAAATGACCATGAGGGAGTGTTGTTGCTTCAGGGAATCTTTCAAAGTATGAGTTAGTCAGTGTTCCATCAAGCATCATCAAGAACTTATGAAATGTTATTACAAGAGGGTAAGAATCGGGGGGAATATCCTGAAATGAATCCTTGATATCCTTGAATTGAAATTCCTCCTCATCAAAATCAGCCATATCAATCAAAAATTTCTTAGTCGAATCACTTCCACCACATGCAAATCTGTAGACATACGTAAGTTAGTTTTGTAACTTTATAGGTTTTATTTTAATCCTATAATCCTATTTCATCTTAGCCAGAAATCCACACATAACGCCTAACAAAAACTCGAGCAGAAAAAAATTGCAGAACACTTGAAACAGAGGATCAGATATTATCAGCCACAGAAAGTACTAAACTTAATCAATCAGGCCAATCAGCTACAGCCAACAAAAACATGAACAAAAGTTACGTATCACTAGCACCCGTTTTGACAAGTAAACATCATTTAGCTGATCAGAAAATGTGGCCCATACGACGTTTTACTCTTTTTTTTTTATTCATATAGGATTTCTCTAAACATGTTGCAAGAGATAAAGAGTTCGATTTCTTGAAATGCCGTTGATATCACACATACGGACTTAAATCAACTCACGACACCTAGTAATCCGAAGACGCTGTTTCCAACACCAGTTTTGATGCTAACTGAACTAAATATTAGTAAGAAACCATTAGATCTGCACCCTAGCTAGAGAACCCTACTTTACAATTGTACCACACAAAGCATCGGTATGTTTGAAATTTACAAACATTTCAAGTAACGAATCAAGAACAAGAAAGAAACTTTTGTTTGAGATAAAGAAATCAAGATTCCAAAATAAACCATAGCAGAAATTTCGTCGGAACATTGTATATGTGATCCATAGAGTTAACTATGAATAATGAATTAATGATGCATCCAAACTACAGTCTTAACCCTACCACTCCATCACTATTTCATGTTACGACTCAAGAATCAAGAATAATGAGGTCATATGATTGACTTATAATGATAAACCAACACAAGGAAAAGAAAAAAGAAAAAAAACAGCGGTATCATTTTTTTTTTGGTTCAATAATACACGCACCTTTTCAAGTGTACAACATGTTGTTTTATGGCAAAACATAGCTTAGGACTCACGGTAACAAAAAGTTGGTGTAGATTTCTCCCCCGAATAGCCGAAGAACTCGGCTCAACCATGCTATTTGGACTACTAACGCATCCTTGCTCTGCCAAATGGTAACATTGTTCATTTTGAAATAATTTCATGGTTAAAACTGTTGTCTTCCCCGTTCCTGACCGTCCAACTATAAAGGTACTCTTATGATAAAGAATAATCTCCATTTCCTGGTCAGTTACTTCAAATGGAAGATCCAACTCTTTACCCTCACGGTCAGACAGCAAGTGATTCACTACACCAGATGACAAGGCATAAAACTTCATGAGCAACAAACTCTCGCTGACCTGTGAATTCTCAACATAACTTCTACCATCAGAAGCATCACCAACAAAATCACTATCGGTTTCAGTGGCACTAAGATCTTTAAACCGAGGCACATCCAAAGACGTCGGCCAGCACTTCGGAACTTCCAAATCACTGTTCACAAATGACAGAGAAAAATAAAAATTACTTCAACAGTTCATAAGATTTAGAAAAGTTTGTATCTTCCATAAGGAAAGTAATAACAAGTAACAATTCAGGTCTGCAAAAAAAAAAAAAAAAAATAAAAAAAAATAAAAAAAAATAAAAAACTAGAAGAACATACCCCTCAAGACATTTCTCATTGCAGCGATTGATAAAATCATCTGTATATCTCTTGAAAATACTATCCAAACGATTTATCAATTTTGGGATGCCCTCTAGAGGCAATATGTTCCAAATCTTCAACACTTGAATGTATTTCAACTCCTTTGCAATGTCAATTGTGCAAACAATATATAGACCTCTAACTTTATATTGCCTCAAGATTGATGAGCCAGAACTAGTCGGAATATATTCCTTTTTAGGTCTCCATCCACAGGAAAGCTTCAGTAGAAGATTTAGCACGGACTTCTTCAACTGAATCGACCTAAGCTTTCTGAATGACTTCAGAAAATTATCACTGAAAAGCACCTAAAGATAATAGATTGGGGAAGAGAAGAACATAAAAATGAACATAGAAAATATTTAAGTAACCAGAAAGTCCAATATGAGAATACATATTTTTTACTATAGAGATATCTTGGAAATAAACAGGGGAAACTAGAAAGTAACCCAATAATAAATGAATGCCCAGAGCTTTACCTTCCATCTAGAACTTCTGAAAAGTCCGCTGTTAGCATTAAGCAAATCATCAAACTGGTCTAACTCTTTCTTTGCCTTTAATATAGCCTTGGCCATATCCTTGTCTTCATCAGCTTTAAAGAAACACCGCCGATTCTTGGCATCAAGGACCAAATCCTCCCAAACAGATTCGCTACCACAAAGAGTTCTTTCATTTCCCAAAATCCAAAGGCAGTGCCTGAATTCATTAGACAACCAGTAGTTATTTTCACCCTGACCAACAAGTAAAAACGATGCAAAAGCGTACAAGTTTACATAGAACCATACCGAGCCCTAGTAAGAGCAACATTTACTCTTTGTGGATTCGATATAAAACCGAGTGAGTGATGTTGATTGGATCGCACAGTGGACATGATAATTATGTCCTCTTCCCCACCCTGGAACCCATCAACTGTCTTCACCTTCACTTTAAAGCCATCTAGCTTATTGTACTTCTGTCCAAGTTTGTCCTGAAGTGCAGCTACTTGAGCTGCATAAGGAGATATTACACCGATACTAAGCTTCTCTTTTGAAACAACCCATTCTGTATACAAAGAGAGACAAAAGAAAATTTTCAGTTTTATCCAAACCAAGAAGTATTTAGCCATTACACAAAGTAATAATAAAAAATAAGAACAAAAAAAATATTACAAGCATATAATAGAACATCTAGAAAATAACATAAACGAAAATATTGAATTTAGAACATGAGCATGGCTCCCTGGCTAGACATACTTTTGTGCAAATTCTGCAGTATTTTCAAAACAATTGCAACCTCTACCATATTCTTTAGACTATGTCCATCCTCGTCCTTCTCCTCTCTTCCATCAATTACATTAATAAAAGAATAAGGACCGAACATTGACCCTGGAAGATAGTGTTTCTCATGGCTTCTTCTTTTAACATTCGGAGCGTCCAGGATCTGGTTATAGTAGATACTTGAATTTGGGAAGGAACTTATTGACGGATGCATTCTGTATTGCATGTTTAGAAGATGTTTAGAGTGACCCATCGAGCTCAACCTCTCAAACAAGCTTCTTCCAAAACCAGCTTCATAGGACACCTAAGGAAGAAAGAATAAGTCGAAAGGAAAATTGCAATGAGAGAAATGATTAAATAAATATAACCAAGTAAGCATCAACATACATTGCTTTTCACCATAGCTGGTAACTGACATTCATCACCAACAAGAACGGCATGCTTCACACCTGGAAGTTGCAGGGGTATCGCTGACTCACACTCTTTCAATTGTGCAGCCTCATCGATAAAAACAATAGTCAGTGGCTCCATTTTCACTCTATGCAGCTTAAACGAACTGGATGCAGTGCAAAATATTAAGGAAGCTCTTTGAAAACAAAACTTCATTACAGATTTTTTGTCCGTAACATCTGGAAGGTAAAGTCTTCTAATTGAATCCTGAAGAGTAAGTAATACTGAAAGGCACTCTCTTCTCTTCATGTACAGATAAAATGTGTTGTCTACTGGCTCAGGCACATCTTCAACTTCTGAACAAGAGAAAAGTTCTTCCAATGCTTCCGAATCAACATTACCTTGCAACAATTGTATTTCAATGGAATCAACTAACCTTAAAAGCGAAATCATGTCTTGGAAATTTTGTGCCGAAATGTAATCTTGGCTTATATGGGTACAGAAGGTAGAAATAAAACATTTTAAGGGTAATGCAGTAGAAACAAATCTCTCTCTGAAAAATTCAAGAAACGATTTGCATTTCCCCTTGCTAACTTCGGTCCCACTTCCGCATCCTTTCTCTATCATTTCACCCTCACCATTTTGTTCTTCCTCTTTGGCTAACTCATTTTCCAAGAAAATATGGTAATGTGAAACACAATCCTCAAGAAGTCCAATCATGGAAGACGAGCAACTACTCCAACCTGTCACCGGCCCCAGGCACTCAAAAAGACTTTCAATACGGTGATCCAAAAATATATCTTCAATATCAGAACCAACTTTGAGTCCCTCTTTATTCCCAAATAAAAGAATTTTTCCCAGAGGACAAAACAAAGCATTGGACTCTGCTTCAGTCACCATCTCTACAAGATGAGAAGCTACTTCAGTTACTGCAACATTTGTTGGGGCACAAACAAGAGTCCTACAATTCATCCTTAACAGGGTCAATAGCAGAGTAGCAGTTGATTTAGTTTTCCCAGTCCCAGGTGGACCCCAAATGAGTTGCAATGTAGACTTGGAATCACAAAACAGCATTTCAAGACAGGCCAAAACTGCCCCAGTTTGTGACTCATTCAATCCAGAACATGAATTCTCAACTAACAATTTATCCCTAATGTCAGCATTCACTTCATACGAGGGAGGATAGTTTTTCTGAGCCTGTTACCAAGCATAAGATATTTAGCCAATCCCAACAATAAATAACAGTGTTGAAATATAGTACCAGAAATTATTCGATCAAAGTGAATCGAATAGTTAGATTGGAGAAAGAGAGAGACCGTAGAATCCAGAGTACAGAATTGGAGTAGTACACATAGAGATGACAGAAACTTTGATCTAAAGATAAAAATGAAAGAAAATCATCATGCTTGTATCAAAATTATTAGAGTACCGTACACAGCGTAAGTAACGAAAAAGGTAATTCGCTGAGTATTTTGTATAGAGTGTAGAGAGTATTACATTACACCTTGCATTATGTATTGTTGACATACCAAGAATAGGTCCTATTTCAGTGAATGCAATGCACAGAACTTAAGATCTTACCACAGAATCAGTGCACAGAACCTCTTTGATTATCTTCAGATTTCCGAACATGTGCAATGCTTTCCATATTCTGCCATTTGTGATCAAATTCACAAGGAAAACAACAAATTGTGATGCCGGAGTGCTCTTGTTATCTGTGACTTTAAACCTTTTTGATGCCTTGACTTCAAACTCTTTTATTTCAGTCTCTATTATCTCATCATTAAATTCATCTTCTCTCTTATTTTCTGAGATTTTATTTTCCGTGATGTTAGTGACCGATACAAAAGTCCATGACCTCCCTACCCTTTGTAAATCAGAAACAGTTTCGGGTTTCGCATCAGCTAAGACAAAAAGATCCCCAGGCAAAGTTTTGTATGGTTCCTTTCCACGTTCGCTGAACCTGTTTCGCCACTCATCAACCTTGATATTATATATCCATGTTTCATCTAACTTGGACTTGGATTCTTTAAAAGCAACTGCTACAGCAAATGGTGCTCTGTCAATAGTTTCCATACTCGACTGCACTTGTGCACGAGTTTCCTCTAATAAAGGAAATGAATAGGACCCAAAATAATGCCGAACTGAATTGAATGATTCAGGAATCTTCTCCACCTAGAAAAGTAAAAAGTTCAGAATAAGTTTGTTGATAAATCTACAGATGATATATATACAATGGTACTGGGGGAAGTGAGAACCGAACGTGGGAGGTGCAGGTGATTGTTCTTAACCAATTGAGCTACAAATATAGACACGGAAGAATTAGAAGACTGAAATGGGGTTCCCTGTCTGAGTCAAGGCCTATAAAGAAAAAACTACTACCTTGAAAAAGCAATCCAGGCTTCAAAGATTTAAAACCAAAACCTTACTTACTGAATTGTTTATCAAGGTAGCAGAAAAGATTCTAAAAGAGTTTACAAATTCAAGGGTTTTCAGATTTTGAATGAATCCATCGAACTCCACGGTATTCAAACAAAAATTTCAAAGGAGTTCATAAAACTCCATAGAATCTGGATGTATTAAATCATGATTTAAAAGTAGTCCTAAAAACTCCATGTGTATTCAATTAGGAATTGATTTTAAATTATTTTAAAAAGATTAAGGATTTAGAAAAATTTTATCGTGTATTTTAGGCTTTAGGAATCAGGGTCTTCCCCTAAGTTTATGAAACTCCATTAGAACTCTATCAACTTCACAGATTTATAACTCTTTTAAAAACCTTCAAAATCTCAATTGAATAAACCCCTAAAGTTTAAATTTTTTGGGTCTTAACATCTAAGCAGTCCCGAAAACACAAAACAAAACCAAAGTTGCAGCATCAATCTCATCAAAATTTGAAGAAAAAAAAGAAAAACAAGATAAAGCTAAAAAAAAACCAAGAGAGAATTTATTAGTAAAAGTAGAAGAAAAAAACCTGGAGTTGTCATGTCTTCAAGTGAAAAAACACAAGTATCATGAAACTGTCGGAAAACGCAACATTACTTTTATAAGAAATTCAACCAGTTGTATTTTTTACATATTTTTTTTTTAGCAAACCACTGTTCACAGTTTTGCTTACAGGGGAAGTTCCTTGAAGACTCGGTGACCATATTCACCTTTAAAGGTGCGTTTGGTAAGCAGACGGGACGGGACGGGACGGGACAGAACGAAGGTGTAATTTTTGAAAAAGACATGGCGTATATTTGTCTTAAAATGGTAAAACATTGTGTTCCACAGACGTGGAACAAACCCGTTCCCAGGGGGGAGGTGGAACGCAAAAACACCCAAAATCTGTCCCGTGGAACAGCCCGTTCCACCCATTTTTGGCGCACCAAACGCGGGACGGAACGCTTCGTCCCGTTCCGTCCCGTCCCGTCCCACGTACCAAACGCACTTACACGTCCAATTTATAAAATAATAAAAATAAAGAGCAAAAGTATTCCCTTTTCTTTTATATAAAAAAATTATGGAAAATAGTAAACATGGTTGTAAAATGTGGTGTGAATAAAGATATGTCTGTAACCTCATTACAACACACAAAGAAAAAAGAAAAAGTAATAATATAAATATCTCCTCCTCCCTGATGCAGGAGGTAGACTTGGAGAAAACAATTTGAAACCATTAGTATGATTTGGAATAACAAAAGTTCTGTATTTTAATTACTCAGGAATTTGTTAAGTTATTTTGGGAGTTGTAAGAGTATCATGTGTGAAATCTCGTTTCTGTTATAATTTACGTATTTGTATTATTGAGATTTTATATTATTTTTTCGAGAATTTATATTACTTTATTTGAAATTAGATTTCAATTAAACTAATTACGAAGAGTGAAGTTTGGAAAATTAGTATTTACTCGTTGACCTTTCAAGGTCACAAGTAACATATTCGAATAGGTCTCGAAGCCACGAGCGCATAGGCGAAAGCCGTTTGCGAGTCCACGTTCTAACAGTATAGTTACGGACGTTTGAAGTTGTGAAACAGTATAGTTACGGACGTAAAGTTGAAGTTGTGGAACTTTAGATTGTGGAAATTATTTAATTTCCACTAGAGGGTAAAAGGCCCAAATATATAATTGGGTTAAGGGAACCGGCTATTAAGAGTGAAAAAAAAAGAGCGGGGGGGGGAGCAATGGATGGATGAGGAGGATTAGAAAGGACAACATTTTCTTTCCCCCATTTCTTGAAACCGGATGGATGAGGAGGATTAGAAAGGACAACATTTTCTTTCCCCCATTTCTTGAAACCGTGTATTCCACTAGCCATTTTTCAAAACCGGCCAACTTCAGGCCAATTTCTACCATTTCTCAACTGATTTTCTTATCTCCTTTACCTGCAACCTACTCAACTACCTTCCTCCTTCCATCTCCACCAAAAAAATCAAGAGTTTTTAAGGTCTAATTCGGGTAGAACTCCATCGGAGAATCCGGGGGTTCTCAATGGCGATTTGTCATTCCGGTGAGTATCACCATTCACCATCACCCTTAATCAACTTCCTTTGGACCTAGGAACAAGACTCAACTGGTGGTTGGGGCGTTGGAACATCAAGGAAGCCGAATTGAAGAACACTCACCTTAGGGTTTCGAAGGGTGCGAGCCAATTTGAGGGCCTTCCCGGCCAAATTGGACTCGGCCACAGGTATAAAGTTTACTCTACTTGTTGAGATCTTCATTCTTATAAAGTTTGAGAATTTTTGGGAAAAATCAAATTTTCCGATGTGTGACATTCGATTTATGAAATGTTGTTGGTTGAGTATATTTTCGATAAGGCCAGCCACTAGAATATTCTAACAATTGACGATCTTACCATTGAATTGACACCAAATTTTAGTATGTTATTGTAGATTTTTTTTATGGACCTTAGGGAATTACTAGTGAAAATCTAGTGGGCCTATATTGGTTAGATAGCGACTTGAATATATGAAATATGATTATTATCTTAATTTCTTATATTAGTATCATTTGTGAATATAAATTGGTCTTATAATTATGATTTCTATTGAAATGTGAATTTTATATATTTAGCCATAGACCTATGCTAATTATTATGGGAACTTTAACGAAAAGCACCTGGTACTGTTCACTTTAACGAAAAACCACATTTTTACATTAAAAAGTCAATTCTGGTACTATTCACTTTACCCTTTATTTTGTCCTTATCATTAAAACTCAAAGTTTTCAAGCCCTTTTCATTAGTTTTCCTAATTATATATGATTTGGCTTGTGTATTGATGATGTTTGTGATATATATGTGTTTAATTAACTTTTTAATAATGTGAATAATAATTATGATGAATGTTATGACAATTATGGGATCTAAATATTGTTTGATAATTATTTGGATATGCTTGCCAACTAAATACCTATTTGAACTTTGATTATACCATACTGAGGGCCTCTGTATTTAGATCTCGTATAAATACTCGGGGGACTCAAATGTAATTATGTAATAAAGGAAGGGGCAAATATGTAATAAGTGATGAGCCTTTATTCTATAAAATGACTCATCACTCTCCTCATTAGGAGAGGCCAATTCTTAAAGCTGACCCCTCACCTTCTAAAAGCCTCTTATACTCTGAGATTCAGAGCTCTCATCCTCACAAAGAAGCTCTCTCTATCCTCTTCAACATTTCAGAGAAATACAATAATCAGTGTGGACATAGCTCAAACATTGGGGTGAACCATGATACATCTTGTGTTATTTACTTTCTTGCAGATTCACGGTCGGATTTACGTTGTTTCAAGACCCCTCCGGTTTTGTGCATCAATATTTGGCGCCGTTTGTAGGAATCGACACAAAAAGCTATGTTAGTTCTCTTTCATTTTTTTCATCTCACCACCGTGAGACCTCACCACACTCCACCTTGAATCTGCAAAAACCGAAGAACCAAACACATGCACAGTCACTGCAAGACCCATGTCTCCTACTCCAGCTTCCGGTCACGGCGGCAACGATGGAAACATAATCACAGCCTCTCTCTCTCTCTTACTCCATGCTTATGTAATGTAGGTGGTCTCTCATTGCAAGACGACTACCAGGAAGAACAGACAATGATGTTAAAAAACTAATGGAACACCAAGCTAAAAAAAAAAGCTTTCTAAGATGGGAATTGACCCAGTCACCCACAAACCCTACTCTCAGATCCTTTCCGACTACGGAAACATCAGCGGCCTCCCAAGCACTGCCGGGAATCATTCGTTCTCGTCCCTTTTCAAGCAATCGAAAAGTGCATTCGCACCCGAATTAAACTCTTCCTGCATCAGAGATCGTGCAACCCACTCTCTTTCAGCTAGGCATCGTGGTATACCATGGAGTCTTCCAATAAAGGCATTGATTCCGGCATTTGTTAATGCTTTATAGAGGTGGCTTGTGAAGCTTTTACGTGTGTCTTTGCGTCTTAAACTTATGAACACATCGTAGAGCGAACCTTTCGAGAAGGAGACAGACGACGAGGAGGACAATGAGGTGGAGGATGATGAAGATGAGGCTTCATCGGGGACCGAGATGTTCATTTGGCGAAAGACAAGGTCGATAGATAAGAGGATGGAGACGAGGACAACAAAGTGCTCAGCTGCTAGCCAACCCACTCCAGCAACAAAACAGAGAGAATAAGCAACTGCAGACCCACGCCTGCCAATTTGAGAATAGCTTCCTGCAGCAACCCATTTGGCTAAAGCTTCACCCACTCCTCAAGTTTTACTCTAATTGATTCGCATACCCGAGCTTCAGCTACCACTACACCTCTTCATTTTTTCAACTCTAAATTGACCACGTGGGGGAAGGAAATCTCATAATTATCACTGCAACCCCAATTGAACCTACGATCCAATGTTGCCGGTTTGGATGGTGAAAAAGGTGCAAGTACCCCAAATGATGGCCATCAAGGTCAGCATGCATCAGCCAAAACTGTTCATACTAAGCGAGCTCTCTCTTTCTCTCTCTTTTTCTCTCCTCTCTCTCAGCCCTCGAACCCCAATCTGTTTCTTGGCTACTTTTACTCATATCCCTTCTTTCCTACAATTCACGCTCTGAGTTCGTTCTTCCATCAGTTTTCACTCCCAAGTCCTTTTTTTTCCTCTTCTGGGATAATCCAGAAATCTCTCATTTTTTTTTCAACTTTTTCCGTGAATTTTGACATCTGGGTTCTGCCTAATTTCGTGATTCCCTTTCTGGGTTATTATCAACTAACTGGTTCAGCTTTTGGAAAGCCTGGTTTCTGCTTTTGGGTTCTTTGGAATTTGATATGTTTTAAGAAAAGTGAAGGCTTTTCAGCTATCTACCTGTAGATTTTTTCAGATCCTTTAACAAATGAGCTTTTTTTCGAGTAATTTTCAAGTGGGTTTTCGAAACTGAATGTAAAAATCGGTTTTTCGCACTTGGGTTTGGAGTGTCGGTGTTGAAAAATGAAGAGAGTGAACGAGGAGAAGGTTATGGGACCTATGTTCCCAAGGCTTTATGTGAATGCTGCAGATAAAGGAAGGCCGAAAGCTCATCCAAGGAACAAGATGGCCCTCTATGAGTAGCTGAGCATCCCATCTCAGAGGTTCAATCCTGGGGTGCTGCCTCTTAATTCAAATAACCAGGGGAGTCGTTTGTGGAAGCAAGGCCAAGTGGCGACCAGAGTTCTTCTAAGAGAAGCAGAGTTGCAGAAGTTCATAATTTGTCTAAAAAGAGGATGAGGAGTAGGATCAATGAGAAAATGAAGGCATTGCAAAATCTCATCCCAAATTCTAACAAGACGGACAAGGCTTCGATGCTTGATGAAGCCATTGAGTACCTCAAGCAGCTTCAGCTTCAAGTTCAGATTCACGCCAGGAAAGACGCTTCCAGTATGGGGGATCTCGCATGTAGGTGAAGCTTGGCAGGAATTTGGCAGGGATCTCTTAATGATAACACTGTCAACTACTTGAAGCTACTTTTGCTTTTGTTGACCACGTGGAAAAAGTCATACTTATGCTGCCAAAGTGCAGGCTTGTGGTACTGCAATCAGGATGGGTTATCTTCAACAACCCACTTGGACGAAGGGAATAACTTTTCCCAACAAAATACTTAGCTTTACTAGATATTCACATGTGCTAGCATGCTTTGTCACACTTATCCACCAAAAGAAAAAGAAAGGCCCTCAGACAGCTCAACCACTCCCACAAAAGTGAAAAGAAAAAAGCAAAAGCAGAAAGAAAAAGAAGATAAAAAGAAGCAGACATAATTACGGTGGTGATGACATGCAGAAAAGAGAATGACGGGCGTGACCCATTAAGCAGAGGGTCGGATTTATTTTTGAATGATGTAATTTATTTTTCTTATCTTTCGGAGACATCTGTATAAACCTCGTCAGATGGTAATTAAAAAAAACGGCAAGCCCAAAATAATGGGCTGCAATGTCATGTGGAGGGCCAAGGCCCATATGCCCAAAAGAGTTAGGCCATATGACTCCAAAATTATTCGGCAGTCTGCCGCTATTATCACCAACCAGGTGATCAAAAGTATGCCCAGTACTTCAAAATTATTCGGCAAGCCTGCCGCTATTACCACCCATTAGGTGATTAAAAGTACGTCCAATACTCCAAAATTATACATGAGCATTACTCATGTCATTCATACATAAACATTCATAAGCATCACTCATGACAATCATACATAAACATTTATGACCATCATTCATGTCAACATTCATGATCATCACTCATGTCAACATTCATGAGCATCACTCATGTCAACATCCATAAGCATCACTCATGTTAATCAACATAAACATTCATAAGCATCACTCATGTCAATCTAGCTTCAAAAGCTTCATTTACAGAGCTCTAGCTTCAAAAGCTTCATTTACAGAGCTCTAGCTTCAAAGCTTCACTTGCAAAGCTTCACCTACAAAGCTTCAGTGCAGGGTATACAAATACCGCCTCCGAACAACCACCACTTCGGCCCATACATGGATTCAATTTGAAGTCTCCAGGCAACAGACTCTATTGACCGAAGACTTGGGGGACTACATTATGTACCATATATTGGGCCTCAACTAGGCCTCATGAAAAATACTTGGGGGACTTAGCCCATCACTTATGTATTGAGGAGCGAGCCCTTATTTTATAAAAGGGACTCCCTCACCATCATTAGATAGCATCGTCATCTGTTGATTAACCGCCTCGCCGTGAGCACCAACTCTAGCCCATCATTTATGTATTGAGGAGTGAGTCATTATTCTATAAAAGGGACTCCCTCACCATCATCAGAGAGCATCGCCATCTACTGAGCAATCGCCTCACCATGAGCATCAACTCTAGCCTATATTTATGTATTGAAGAGCGAGCCCTTATTCTATAAAAGTGACTCCCTCACCTTCAAACGCCACAAGATGAGCCAACCAAGGCAACATAAGCCAAGCAGAGCAGCCTCGCAACATGTGCTACTTCGGGTTGAGCATCATTTTAGATTGGGCACCGCCTCATATCGAGTATCAGTTCTAGACGACATCTAGTTACTTCGGCCCACACATGGACTAAATTTCAAGTCTCTAGCCAAAAGACTCTTTTGACTGAAGACTTGGGGGACTACTGTTTATACCATACTTAGGGCCTTCGTATTTAGATCTCGTATAAATAATTGGGGGACTCGAATGTAATTATGTAATAAAGGAAATGGCAAATATGTAATAAGTGAGGAGCCCTTATTATATAAAATGACTTTTCACTCTCCTCATTATGAGAGGCCAATTCTTAGGCATGACCCCTCACCCTCTAAAAGCCTCTCATACTCTGAGATTCAAAGCTTTCATCCTCACAGAGAAGCTCTATCTATCCTCTTTAACATCTCAGAGAAATACAATAATCAGTGTGGACGTAGCCCAAACATTGGGGTGAACCACGATACATCTTGTGTTATTTACTTTCTTGCAGATTCACGGTCGGATTTACGTTATTCCAAGACCCCTTCGGTTTTGTGTATCAACAAACTTGGCACTATTACCTAGCATGAGGTGGAGGTGAAAGTCAGGAGATGAGTTAGGTACATTATTAGATTTTTAGTAGAAATAGTAATTGAGGGAATTTCTTGGGTTGTGCTCCATATGACTAGATGCTGGTTGATATGTGGAGTCGATAACATGTATACGTATAATTATGTATAATGTGTAATGATGAGACTGCACCATGTAACCGTAGTGCATAGATGGTCCTGCTTGGTTAATCCGCATTGGGGGACCATACTATATATGGATCGTGCTTGGTTAATCCGCGTTGGGCGATCCTTATGGCCATTTATACTTAGGGGTGATTATGCTTAGTTAATCCGCGTTGGGTGATCACTGCTTGACAGTTCTATAGGTGTGACTCTGCTTGGTTAATCCGTATTATAGGGTCACTACCTACCTGATTATCTTAACCTTGCTTGGTTAATCTGCATTAGGGGGGTCACCAGTGGTCCTGCTTGGTTAATCAGCATTTGGGGACCATACTACATATGGATCACGCTGGTTAATCTGCATTGGACGATCCTTATGGCCATGTATGCTTATGAGTGATCATGCTTGGTTAATCCGCATTGGGTGATCACTTCCTAATAGCTGTAAGAGTGACTTTGCTTGGTTAATCCACATTGGGGGGGTCACTGTCTACTTGGTTACTTTCTTAGGGGTGGCTGTACTTGGTTAGTCTGCTTTGGGGAGGGCATTTCCTGTTTGATTACTTATGTAGGCTTCAGCCGAACTGCATCCCTCTAGCCCTAGTTTGTAATGCACATATGAACGATGGTTTTTGAGAATCTTGGTGGTATGAATGGAAAAAGTCGTTGGATGTCTAAGTGACTCATTCGGAGTTGTTAGAGATTAGGCTATGTTTTTATAATTACGAACTTATCTTTGAGGTTTATAAACTGTGATCGATGGTCTTTCTTTTTAATGAATATCACATACTTGTATTATTGTCACTCACCTGAGCCTCGTAGCTTAATAGAGTGCCTGATTTGCCTAGTGAACCATTCCCATAATGTGGGCATTGATTTTACATGTGACAAGTCTGGGTAGATTACGAGAAACCGCTTGATATTTTGGGTTCTGTTGAGTGGTTAGGAACCCGATGTTGTTGGATTCTGTTGAGTGGTCCAGAACCCTTGCTCTTGCTCATTTCCATAAGGTTATCTTAGAATCCTATATTCGAGTGAATGGAAATTTTCCACAATGGACCTTGTGAATATAAAATAGAGTTACCATGTTATTGCTCATAATCCAAGTAGGAAATTACATAGAGTTCCTTGGTTAAATTTGTGAAATGATATGGTACTGCGTTCATTGATTAACATAATTAAAGGCTAAGTTCATGTATCTTTGATTCATGAATTGATTGATTGACGGGATTGTGGAATGACCTTGGTTATAGTTGTTATTATTTTGATTGTTTTAGTTGATCAATGTAGCTTGAGAATAATATGAGCTTCATTAGTTATTTGATATGTTACATGCTGTGGATGGAAGTATCGTGTTGAAAACATGGAATTTATATGAAGGATGGAATGAGAATCTTAAACAACATGTTGGTTTGTTTTGTAGCCCTGAACTTGGTAATATCATGCATGTCAAGTTCTAATAATTGAGTATAGTATGCTATGTATTCCTGTTAGAACGCACTGGAATAAATGTCTAGATTGGTGAAAGATGAACTACGAATGACTTGATCCCTAATAAAGGTACGTAGGCAGTCTAACGAGGAGGCGGGGTAGATTGAGATACGGGTATTTGGTGACGTTACATGGCGATCCGGGACGTAGGTCGGTATCGAGGCATGGCATCATGGATACTTGAGGTCTATTAATTTGTAAACGCTTATAAATGTTGTACTAGAAAGCCTTGAATGGCATACTTGAATGAATTAAAATTGTATCTACCTTGTGCATTTGAAGAGAGTGATTTATCCTTCGTGTGAACGAATCCACGATTAGCGACGTGAGCGAGCTCCGTTGCCCCTGGTTGAGCGAATCCCAGGTTATCATCCCCCGTCTCCCCGAGACTCCCTTGGCTTTTCTTGCATCAAGTGGCATCAAAGTTGGTTTTTGGATTTTTATCTGAAATCCTGGTGGTAGTGCTGCGCACATCATCTGTGTTTGTCCTCAAAACCAACTTAGTTCCCTTGACTTTTCTCTAGAAAGTCATACATCATTGGAAAGTTGTGGAAGTCTAGTTTCCTACGCAATAAACCGTGCATCAAACCGAATTTTGTGTGTGCAGATATAGGCAAAACACCACAGAGCATCAGTGCTGTCGCGAAAACAAGATCAATTCATGTGCGGGTCCGTTTTCGATTTGGTTAAGTATTTCTCAATGCCATATATCATTTGAAAGCCCTTTCTAAATTCTCGAGCGATTCCTCAATTTGTTATTTCTACAAAACAGTATCTTCAATTTACTAAAGCATGTTGCTGCCTCCAGTAAATGAGGTTAGATGGGTTCTAGAAATGGTTGTCTTTGATTTTTCAGGTGACGGTTTTCTAAATCTCAATCTTCCTCCAAATTTTGATCGTTGTCCAAAAGGTTCATGTGAGATTTGTTGTGGATGTGATGAGGTTGAAAAACGTTCCAACATGGAGTTTGGCACGAAAGGGGAACATACAAAAACAGTGATGTAATCGATAACTTTGCTGAATGGGATTCCACCCTAGTTTATGATCAATATGAAGGCGATGAAGATGTGGTTGAAAAGTTCCATGGACAATTATATAATGGAGTACAAGCTCTTAATATCTGTAGCAATGATTATCCTTTTTGGGACAGTTTTGTTGCTCAAGATATGATAGGAGAGCTATTTGATAGAAGAACTTTTCAACACGATTTGAATTCTCTCGGCTCATTTGAAGAAGTGATTTGGAAGCACTATTCCAAGGTGATTATTTTCATGAAGAAAAGATTAACGTGTGCATGGTCTATAGAAACTTGGAAAATTTTGGTGCTAAATTGGGTATTGTGGAATATCTTGGTTGGACATCCAAAAGATCGAGGGAAAAAAAAAAAAAAAAAAGAGGTCAACTGAAACTCAAGGATGAGTTTTTTTTTTCGAGTAAAGGAGAATGATGTGGGAGGTAGACTTGGAGAAAACAATTTGAAACCATTAATATGCTTTGGAATAACAAAGGTTCTGTATTTTAATTACTTAGGAATTTGTTAAGTTATTTTAGGAATTGTAAAGGTGTCATGGAAACTTAAAGTCTATTAATTTGTAAACGCTTATAAATATTGTACTAGAAAGCCTTAAATGGAGCAAATCCACGATTAGCGACTTGAGCGAGCTCCATTGCCCCTGGTTGAGCGAATCCCAAGTTATCATCCCCTGTCTCCCCGAGACTTCCTTGGCTTTTCCTGCGTCACTCCCCCTTTTTACTTGCATTTTTTATGATACAATTACGAAAAACAAACAGTGTGATACATCGTACCCATTTCGCTTGCCGAAAAATGCTTCCTTTTCTACCTCACCTGCTTGGTGTTTTCTCGCCAATAGCAACTAACACCATGTCTTTTCCTAGTCCTCAATTTAATAATTACTTATATTTTTATTTCTTGTTTAGTGTAGCTTCTGATTATTAAAGTAGTGTTTATTTATGTTAATTTTATTGCAATTTTAGACGGTGTAGTACAATCGCCCATCTTGAACTGCATATTTAATTTTATTGCAATTCTGCAATTTTAGGTGGTGCGGTATAATCGCCCATTATGCACTGCATATTTAGTTTCATGCTGCTTGAGTGGTGTCGTATAATCATCAATTCTACACTATATTATTTCAATAAGAGTGGTGCGGTACAATCGTCTTCCTTATTAATTTTCTTTCTTTCTGGTAGTAATACTCAATATTGATAGCAGTGCTTGTATATTGAGTATTAAAAACTACCTAATATTCTAAATTATGTAAATCTCGAGCCTAAAGTTTCGAGTGCTTATCATTTTGGCATGAAGTTCAAAAATGAAAAATTTGTAAGAACCAAAAGTTCTAACACTACATTTCTTTATAATCCATGTTAGTGCAAGTTCTTACACATCTCATTTTTCTTTTTGAAAAAGAAAATGGTGAACTTGACAAAACTTGATTTTGTTGACTTAAATATCACTAGAAAAAACTACCTTACCTGGTAGTGGATGCCAAGATCCATATGGAGACAGGAAATCTTGAATATGGGTGGACACACCTGAAAAGATGAGTGGACACACCTGAAAATCTAGGATTTTAGGAAGGTTGCTAAGTATAACTCTACAATGTTCAAAATTAGCTCCCAAATGAAACTTTGTGGGGGAGACTATCACTAAAGAAGATATGCTGGAAAAGACTTTTAGTATTTTTCATGGCTCCAACGTGCTCCTGCAGCATAGAGAGCAAGACTTTACTAAGTACAACCAGTTGATATCAGTGCTCTTGGTGGCTGAATAGAACAATGAGCTCTTGATGAAAAATCATCAATTCCGACTAACTGGGTCGACGCCATTTCCAGAATTGAATGATGCTTCCCTTGAAGCAAACACCACCCCCTCAGTGAAATAGTTAACTTTAGACGTTTCAAGGGCGATGTTTTACCATTACTTTTTTTTTTAACAGAGACAATATTGCATTTCATTCAACTTCTCAAATAGTTACAAAGGTTGCCAATTGGGTACATAATCTTCAGTGACCAAGAAATTGATTTGAAGTGAATTTGTGCAGTAAAACAAACAATAGTAAACCCCCTATACGGCAACCACAAACACTGTCCTAGCCCCATAAACCGTTATCAATACAAAGCTGTTACAAAAACATGATAAACACAACAAACTTATATCGATAACCGCATAAGTCATCACATAAATGCGAGGCCACCAAAAATCATCACCAAGCGAAACCACAAAAAGGTCATATTTAAAAACGAGACCACAAACTCAACGCAAAAAGTGAAGACAACATCAACCATCGTAAGCACATGACGACCACATACATAAGGCGAATAAAATAAATCCGACATGTCCACATTGGAGAAATAGGTGTAGAATTAGCAAGAGACATTGGAGCAGAGTCACGTGCAGAGATGACAGAGGCGTGGGACGCCCGCTGAAGTTGGAGCGAAACCCCAAACACTAAAGACCGTCAGAAGTTCCGTCGCCCAGTGTGGGTCATAACGGTAGGAAGGGTATCGATGATCGACAAGGATGGCAAAGGGAACCGTCCACGCCACCGCCCCACCAGCCTTACCACCATAACGAACCCAAATAGATTGAAATGATATTTCCAAAGGTAAGCCCTTGAGGAGCCCAAAACACCAGGAACAACGGATCTGCACGTCAAACAGTGAGCAATCAGGAAGTCGTCGCCGGGAACACCTAAAATAGACTCCACCCAGGACAAAAACACTATAGATTCGAAAACCCACCGCACCAAAGTGAATGAGGGACCCTACGAAACCTATTTCTGGAACGCGCAACACTAAACCCCAAGCCACTAAAACCATCCAAAGCCATCCAATGGAACACTAGAGGAACCCTTGGGACAAAGCCCATCCGTGGGACGATGGAAAACCATGGGGGAGAGGGAAAGGATAGGAGCTCGGGATGAGGGAGATGGAGAAGAGATACCCGGGGATGGGGATAGCAGGGAGTGAGAAGATGAGAGGCTAAGAAAGGAAGAAATGGGGAAAGGGAAGAATGATGTAAGAAAAAAACAGAGAGGGTATGGCGAGGCAATAGAAAGTGGGGTGGGAGGAGGGAGGTGGAGAGGAATGAGGGGACGGGAGAGAAGGGAATGAGGTTAGGAGGATGATGAAGGGAGTCGGCCATCGACCCCCAGCCTTAGCCAGAGGCCGACGGCCATGGAGGAAGGGAAAGTTGAGCTCTGTGGTTTTTAAGGTTTCTGAGTCCATGACAAATAAAATTCACTGATTATTGCTGTTTGAACTCAGAATTTTATGGCACAGGCAGGCATGCACGTAACTTTTGATCTTAAATTTTGATATGTGGCACTTGTTACCATTACTTTACTTTAGTCTAAAGTAATGTTTTCAATTGCACTATTTGTTCGGGCAAAGATTTCTCTTGGAGAAGGATCCTCGAACTTCAGCACAGCTCCTCAAGGGATTGACACTTTGGATGTGTAGTCGGGCTCTTGTTTGTTAATGTGCTACAAGAAGATGACAAAATTAGTTCTGAAATGTGCCTTTGTGGGGCCTTAGGTGTAGGCTTTAAGAATCGTAATCAAAACTAACTGAGTGCTAGGCGTGCCACTGCTATCTCAGTATAACAGATGTAGAACAAGTGTGTTTTAAGTTGATTATTTGCGCCCCAAGTTACTCAAACTTCTTGTTATCAAAGGATTGTCGTGGATGAGTTAAGTCTACATTGAATTCTTTTTCTTGCCTTGTGACCAAAGACTTTTAGTTCATAGTCTTGTATGTTCAAACGAATGGAGTTTATAGCACTTTAAGTTATTTACTTGGTTCTTGATTGATTTTAATGATAACATATCCATTAAACTAACCAAATCCAACTACAAATGAGATTCTTAAGATAGGAAAAATGATGGAAATTATTTGAATACACATTGGAGAATGCATTAAGCAATAGATCTACTAATTTAGAAAACAAACAAAAAGTTTCAGGCAAGATTTCACCTTGTCTGTCAAGGTTGAACTTCTTGCAATCACTTCTCTTTGTATTTACAAGGTTTGTATGCTGAAAAAGGATAGATGGTAAACAAGTTTACACAAGGAAATCAATACTACACCACTAAGGGAGGTAGCATAGCTTTTAAACTAGACAAAAGATGTCTTCTGTAGGGAATTATCCTAAAATGATTGGGATCAGGGTTGATTATAGCTTTTAGATACAAATCTGGCTTGAAAACAGAGTTTATATGTTGTTTGTTTGATTGGTTGAGTGCCCTTATCTCTGAGACTTCTTCCTCCTTTTATAGGCAAATTTGCCCGACTGCTATAACCTTTATCCTTGTCCGAAAGCACTTAGAGGGTAGTGAGTCATCATCTTTTTACTAGAACTGCCACTAGAAAGTGCTTTTTGGCTGGTAGTAGGTTAGTCTCAATCTTTTGTCACTTCAATGGTAAGCACATGACTTGTATTTGGCTGGAGACTTCAATTTGCCTCTGGGCTCAATGCTGAGCTTCGGGCAAGTCTTCTTTTAATTGGCATCTATGGACTTTCCTTCATTTAAATTCAATGTTCAAATATTAACCCAAACACTATAGTGTTTTGGGATGAATTTTGAGTTATTTACAATATTGCCACCGCATGTTCAGATTAAAAGTTAAGATTTATTTACAAAATTGCCACCGCTTTTTCACAGTAATGGGCGCCCTCGCGTCAATCATCGATTGCTCTGTTCCGCACGTTTCCATTCCCTTTTCTTTTCCTTTCTTCTCTTCCACTCTCTCTGTAACCATCCATCAAATCCCTCATCCCTCCCTTTTCTCACTCTGTAATTTCCCTCAAAGCCCTCACCGATTCTCTTAAGCCATTCTCAGTCTCGCCAGCCGTGAGGTGTTGGAGGTCGATGAGGCGATTGATATGGAGTCGCAGACCATCAAGCAGATATTGGAGTTTTTGTTTGCTTGCGTAGCCGTCATCGTCACCGTCACGAGGGGCTTTGAGTTTTCTTTAAGTGGTTGCAGTGGGTTCGGGTAATCAAGTAGATGACACAAATGGCAAAACACGAAGAACTCCCGATCCCAATTCACAACACCCTCGACGCCGTCTACGGCGACTCCTCCCAACTCGACGAGGCCCAGCTCCGGTTCCACCAGCTGAAGTCCAAGTTCCAGCAGGTGGGTCACCCTCCCCATCTCTTCGCTCGCTCTTCAGGTGGGTCCCTCTTTCTCTCTCTCTCGTGGATTTTTCAGTTTTCGGTTTTGTGCACGTGTTTGAATTTGTGATCGGACGGTGAATTCAGGGAGAGTAAACTTGATCGGAGAGCACATAGACTACGAGCGCTACTCGATGCTGCCGATGGCCATACGACAGGACACCGTTGTCGCAATCCGGAAGCACGACGACGGAGATGCCGCGAAAGTTCTCAGAATCGCCAACGTCAACGACAAGTACCAAATTTGTACTTATCCCGCCGACCCGACCCAGGTACCAAATTGTTTGACTTGATCACGCCCGTTGATATCGGTGTGCAATTTTAGTCAAAGTTTTTTACTTTTACTTTTTTTGGTGGTTGAAGGAAATTGACTTGAAGAATCACATAGGGGCACTATTTCATTTGTGGGTAAGACATAAAGATCCATGCTTTGATCTGTGTGTTTGGATAAATTTAGTTTTTTTCATTTTTCTTTTGTTTGACGATGAAAACATTTGGATGGTCAAACGTTAAAACTATCAATTTCTGAATGTACGGCAGAAAGTGATGGTTTATGTTGTTGTTCATGTACAAATGTTTTTACGAATTTGCCAAATCGAAGGGAGAAAATGTTGGACCAGTACTATTGAAATTCTGTTGGAGTTTGGGTTGCGTATATATCGGTATTCAACAACAACAACAACAAAGCCTTTTCCCACTAAGTGGGGTCGGCTATATGAATCCTAGAACGTCATTGCGCTCGGTTTTGTGTCATGTCCTCCGTTAGATCCAAGTACTCTAAGTCTTTTCTTAGAGTCTCTTCCAAAGTTTTCCTAGGTCTTCCTCTACCCCTTCGGCCCTGAACCTCTGTCCCGTAGTCACATCTTCGAACCGGAGCGTCAGTCGGCCTTCTTTGCACATGTCCAAATCACCGGAGCCGATTTTCTCTCATCTTTCCTACAATTTCGGCTACTCCTACTTTACCTCGGATATCCTCATTCCCAATCTTATCCTTTCTCGTGTGCCCACACATCCCACGAAGCATCCTCATCTCCGCTACACCCATTTTGTGTACGTGTTGATGCTTCACCGCCCAACATTCTGTGCCATACAACATTGCTGGCCTTATTGCCGTCCTATAAAATTTTCCCTTGAGCTTCAGTGGCCTACGACGGTCACACAACACGCCGGATGCACTCTTACACTTCATCCATCCAGCTCGTATTCCATGGTTGAGATCTCCATCTAATTCTCCGTTCTCTTGCAAGATAGATCCTAGGTAGCGAAAACGGTCGCTTTTTGTGATCTTCGCTAGATTGCTCCGGTCATTAGTGTGGATAAGTATATAAATGGATAGAGATAGGAAAGCAAACACAAGATGTACGTGGTTCACCCAGATTGGCTACGTCCACGGAATAGAAGAGTTCTCATTAATTGTGAAGGGTTTACACAAGTACATAGGTTCAAGCTCTCCTTTAGTGAGTACAAGTGAATGATTTAGTACAAATGACATTAGGAAATATTGTGGGAGAATGATCTCGTAATCACGAAACTTCTAAGTATCGGAGTGTGGTGTCGTCTTAACTTGCCTTTATCTGTCTCATAGGTAGATGTGACATCTTCTCTGGAAGTACTCTTCCTCCATCCAGGGGTGGTATCTTCAACTGGTGGAGATGCACAAGGTAATGTATCAATTTCACTTGAAGCTTACTTGTAGTTTCAGGCTTGGTCAAGCGCGATACAAACCATGTAGTAGGAGTCCCCCAAGTCGCCGAGCTAGGGGGGTCTGCTGAAAGAGGTGACAGACAAGGTAAGCAATCAGAGCTCCGACTGATTGTTCACCTTCTCCCCATCTTGCAGCAGCATGAAGGATAAAGAGAAGAAAAATGAGAAGAGATGATATGAGATACTTTTGCTTTTGAAGAAGTAACTTTCCACAGGCTTATTCTTGAACTGAGCTGGAGGGTTTTCTGGTTTCCTCCAGAGTATAAGGCCGACTGAAGAATTTGAGGGTCAAAACAAGTCCATCAAATCTAGAGTACGTTCCACCCTGCTGATATGGGATACTTTTGCTTTTGACAGAGTAATGGATGTATCGGCACGTGTGTTGTTACGCTTGTCTCCACATGCTTCCTTGTATCCTTCGCACTTGCCCTATCTGTTCCTCAAGCAGATGCGGAATCTTCCCTGGAAACATAAGATGTTGAAGATGAGTACTCGAGAGCAATGCCAGGTAAGTAATCAGGTAAGGGGTTCCAGGCAGTCAGTTCCTGGCTGGAAGCTTGATTCCAAGTGCTGACTGATTGCTCTCTTTCTCCTTGTCTTGCAGGTAAAAACAAGGCCAAAGGAAAAGACAGGGAAAAAGCATGATATGGGATACTCTTGCTTTTAACCCTGATGATATGAGATATTCTTGCTCTAGTATAGCTTGTTTGCAGAGGTATTATCGGGGGGAAAGAAAGCTGAATATTTCGAAAGGCTTCGTTGGGAGTGCCCTCTCAGATATGATGAAGGGTTGAGCATTTTTGCAGGTCTGCCTGTCCGTTGAGGATGGAGGTCGACATATATAGGAGTCTCCCTAACAACAAGTAGTAATGCTATTCCTTTACCCTGCTTGGTCATAGCACGGTAGTGGGAGCTGCCAGTTTCACATGTTTTAACTCTGTCAGAGCACTTTGAAATAGTGGTCTGTGGTATCTGGCTCTCGAGATTCGGAGAACGATGCCTCTTCGATTTTTGAGAAAGCAATCATGCTGGGGGTCTGGCTCTCGAGATTCGGAGAGCAGGTGTCTCTTCGATTTTTGAGGAAGTAATCATGTTGGGAGTCTGACTCTCGAGATTCGGAGGGCGGTGCCTCTTCAATTTTGGAGCAAGCAATCCTGTTGGGAGTGTTGTCTCGAATATGAGTAAAGGTTGGGCATGTTTGCTAGTCTACCTTGCCACGAAGCACAAAGGTTGACACACAGGGACTTTCCAATTATCCAGCAATGGTACTGTTCCTTTACCCTCTCTTCGCTTTTGAGAAAGTAGTCATGTTGGGAGTCTGGCTCTCGAGATTCGGAGGACGGTGCCTCTTCGATTTTGGAGCAAGCAATCTTGTTGGGAGTGTTTTCTCGAATGTGAGTAAAGGTTGGGCATGTTTGCTAGTCTACCTTGCCACGAAGCACAGAGGTTGACACACAGGGACTTTCCAATTATCCAGCAGTGGTACTGTTCCTTTACCCTTGTGGGTAATAATATGGTAGCTAGACCTTCAAAATTTATGTGTCTAAACTTTGTTAGTGCTGTTTCTTTGCTATTCTTTTACCTTTCTTGGTCAGAGCGATGTAGTGGGAGCTGCAAGCTTCACGTGCTCAACTTTGGCAAAGAACTTTGGCAAAGTTATCTGTGGTACCCATGAGCTATTGTTGCGTGTGGGAAGTGGGTGATTGAACAGTAAGATTCATGTGCTTTTCTACTTCACCAAAAGTCTTCGACAGAATGCCCATAATTTCTGCAAAGCTGAGTGTGCGTGAGACAGGTGCTGACAAGGCTAGAAAAGTAGGTGCCTCTTCGATTTCTGAGATCGGCCCTCGTGGTCTCTGAGCAGCCCAGCTTTTGAGAAAGCGAGCCTCTTCGATTGATTCGGAGAACGATGCCTCATCGATTTTTGAGAAAGCAATCATGCTGGGGGTTTGGCTCTCGAAGATTCGGGGAGTAGTGTCTCTTCGATTTTTGAGAAAGTAATCATGTTGGGAGTCTGGCTCTCGAGATTCGGAGGGCGGTGCCTCTTCGATTTTGGAGCAAGCAATCTTGTTGGGAGTGTTTTCTCGAATGTGAGTAAAGGTTGGGCATGTTTGCTAGTCTACCTTGCCACGAAGCACAGAGGTTGACACACAGGGACTTTCCAATTATCCAGCAATGGTACTGTTCCTTTACCCTCTCTTCGATTTTTAAGAAAGTAGTCATGTTGGGAGTCTGGCTCTCGAGATTCGGAGGACGGTGCCTCTTCGATTTTGGAGCAAGCAATCTTATTGGGAGTGTTTTCTCGAATGTGAGTAAAGGTTGGGCATGTTTGCTAGTCTACCTTGCCACGAAGCACAGAGGTTGACACACAGGGACTTTCCAATTATCCAGCAGTGGTACTGTTCCTTTACCCTTGTGGGTAATAATATGGTAGCTAGACCTTCAAAATTTATGGGTCTAAACTTTGTTAGTGCTGTTTCTTTGCTATTCTTTTACCCTTCTTGGTCAGAGCGATGTAGTGGGAGCTGCAAGCTTCACGTGCTCAACTTTGGCAGAGAACTTTGGCAAAATTATCTGTGGTACCCATGAGCTATTGTTGCGTGTGGGAAGTGGGTGATTGAACAGTAAGATTCATGTGTTTTCTACTTCCCCAGAAGTCTTCGACAGAATGCCCATAATTTCCGCAAAGCTGAGTGTGCGTGTGACAGGTGCTGACAAGGCTGGAAAAGTAGGTGCCTCTTCGATTTCTGAGATCGGCCCTCGTGGTCTCTGGGGAGCCCAGCTTTTGAGAAAGCGAGCGCCTCTTCGATTTCTGAGATCGGCCTTCGTGGTCTTTGAGCAGCCCAACTTTTGAGAAAGCAAACGCCTCTTCGATTTCTGAGCAGGCGCCTCTTCGATTTCTGAAGCTCCGTCGAGTGCAGATTTTTATAGAGGCTGGCATTAAGTTCCAAAGCACACTTGAATCTCCACCAGTAGAAGCTTCATTCTTGCACTTCTAAGATCTTGATTTGTCCGACCTCTTCTCTCTTCAACACCTTTGAAAATGTCTGGCCCCTCCGACCGTCGTTTTGACTTGAACCTTGTTGAAGAGGCAGCCCCGCCTTCTCCAGACAACATATGGCGCCCATCCTTCGTCTCCCCTACTGGTCCTCTTACCGTTGGGGATTCCGTGATGAAGAATGATATGACCGCTGCGGTGGTGGCCAGGAACCTTCTCACTCCCAAAGATAACAGACTACTTTCCAAACGGTCTGATGAGTTAGCTGTTAAGGATTCGCTGGCTCTCAGTGTTCAGTGTGCAGGTTCTGTGTCTAATATGGCCCAACGCCTATTTGCTCGAACCCGCCAAGTTGAATCATTGGCGGCTGAAGTGTGATGAGTCTCAAACAGGAGATTAGAGGGCTCAAGCATGAGAATAAACAGTTGCACCGGCTCGCACATGACTATGCTACAAACATGAAGAGGAAGCTTGACCAGATGAAGGAAACTGATGGTCAGGTTTTACTTGATCATCAGAGATTTGTGGGTTTGTTCCAAAGGCATTTATTGCCTTCGTCTTCTGGGGCTGTACCGCGTAATGAAGCTCCAAATGATCAACCTCTGATGCCTCCTCCTTCTAGGGTTCTGTCCAGTACTGAGGCTCCAAAATGATCCCCTCCGGTGCCTTCTCTTTCTGGGGCTCTACCGACTGCTGAGACTTCTCCTAAGCAACCTTTGTGAAGGCTCCCTCTTGTGTGTTTATTTTGACTCATGTATATGTACATATTTGTAGCTTATCGGGGATATCAATAAATAAGCTTTCCTTCATTTCAACGTATTGTGTTAAATACACCAAAGCCTTCTTCGCTAAGTTCTTTGAATTTTCTTTTGTTGAAGCTTGTATGTTGAAGCTTTCTGAGTGGAGCATGTAGGTTGGGGTAGTGTTCCCTTAATTTCCCGAGTGAGGAAAACTTCTCGGTTGGAGACTTGGAAAATCCAAGTCACTGAGTGGGATCGGCTATATGAATCTTAGAACGCCATTGTGTGCTCGATCCTGTGTCATGTCCTTCGTTAGATCCAAGTACTCTAAGTCTTTTCTTAGAGTCTCTTCCAAAGTTTTCCTAGGTCTTCCTCTACCCCTTCGGCCCTGAACCTCTGTCCCATAGTCGCATCTTCTAATCGGAGCGTCAGTAGGCCTTCTTTGCACATGTCCAAACCACCGTAACCGATTTTCTCTCATCTTTCCTTCAATTTCGGCTACTCCTACTTTACCCCGGATATCCTCATTCCTAATCTTATCCTTTCTCGTGTGCCCACACATCCAACGAAGCATCCTCATCTCCGCTACACCCATTTTGTGTACGTGTTGATGTTTCACCGCCCAACATTCTGTGCCATACAGCATCGCCGGCCTTATTGCCGTCCTATAAAATTTTCCCTTGAGCTTCAGTGGCATACGGCGGTCACACAACACGCCGGATGCACTCTTCCACTTCATCCATCCAGCTTGTATTCTATGGTTGAGATCTCCATCTAATTCTCCGTTCTTTTGCAAGATAGATCCTAGGTAACGAAAACGGTCGCTCTTTGGTATTTCTTGATCTCCGATCCTCACCCCTAACTCGTTTTGGCCTCCATTTGCACTGAACTTGCACTCCATATATTCTGTCTTTGATCGGCTTAGGCGAAGACCTTTAGATTCCAACACTTCTCTCCAAAGGTTAAGCTTTGCATTTACCCCTTCCTGAGTTTCATCTATCAACACTATATCGTCTGCGAAAAGCATACACCAAGGAATATCATCTTGAATATGTCTTGTTAACTCATCCATTACCAACGCAAAAAGGTAAGGACTTAAGGATGAGCCTTGATGTAATCCTACAGTTATGGGAAAGCTTTCGGTTTGTCCTCGTATATATCGGTATTCACTTGACTTAAATCTTTTTCCTGGTTACTCCTTTTTATGTTCTTTTGAAACTCCAATTGTTGTTTTTGAGACTGAGCCCTGTGAGTCGTTATAATGCTACTCTGTTCTTTCTGTCTCAGCTTACTAAGCCATATGCAGCTGATTCAACACCTGGGCAAGATGACTGTGCAGATGAGAAACCTTCCGTTAAAATCCCGGAAATTGCGGGGAAGGTAGAGAGTGGTATAAGAAGTCCGGGCTTGCAGTGTATGTCGCCTGATTATGACACAAAGGAAATAAAAAACATATATGTGGATTGTAAGCTTTCTTCTTTTCCTATTTTGTTATCGTTTTATTTAAGTTTGGCGTTCTCCTTCCATCCTTACTTTTGAATTTTTTTGTTCCCAATGCTAGTCATATGGCTTCTACTTTTGATAAAGTTGTGTAAATGAATTTATTCACATTGTTTTACCTTAAAGGTTGTACCCAGTGCACAAGGCTCCCACTTTACGCAGGGTCTGGGAGAGGTGAATGTCGGCTAGCCTTACCCCCATTGTTTTTACCTTTCATAAGGATTCGACGTGATCATGGAGTGCCGGCTGTCGACTACCTGACGCCCTCCCCCTCCTCCTTTATCCGGGCTTGGGACCGGCAATGTAAGATAAACTTACACGGCGGAGTTCCCATTGTTTTTACCTTGATAAAAAAAAAAAATTGATTTTGTTTTTATTACTATTAATACTATTGAACATTGGCCTAGTCTTGCTTAAGCCACGTCGAGACTGGAGATGAGTAGTTTGTGATATTTAGTCGAGCATAAACTTTGCCAAAACCATTTTGTCCCTGCACTCATGATAATGCACTGTTGTGGGCATGAACCAATGAGGGAATCTCGGTTCTCCCACCACCAGACTCTAGAAACATATATATTTGCTAGATATGTAACTTTTATTCAGCGTTATTGTTCCTTATGACTTCTGTTTGTCCTATAGTTACTCTTATTTTATGTTTTATAATCTTTGTAAAGGTAGTGGAGGAAAGCCAGTTGCCTCACGGAAAGTGGATTCTCCAAATCATCTTTTCACTATCATCTCTCTCAGTCATGATTCATGACTTAGGTACTACATAATAGGTTTTTGTGCATCTGTTTATTTGTAATTGTCCAAATAGCAATGTAGCTGTTGAATAGGTTTTTGTGTATCTTTGCTGCTCCGTATGAATTAGCTTGAGGTTGCTTGACAGTGACGGTGAATTTACCTTGAGGTTCTGTAGTACCTTACAAATAGACCTCTCTCAGTCATGACATATAATGTGATTTTTTTTTTCTTCTAACTGTTTCTTGATATAATCCTTTAGGTAAAGCATGTTATGATGTTTCCTATTTGATAAATAACGTTAAGTCATAATGAATTCAACCATTGTATGATTTGTATTTATTTAGGTTCATATATGTAGGAGAAGATACATAGGAACTTAAAAAATCTAGAACAATGAAAAACTATGCATACATTGTGTAGCTGTGTAGCTTTGTTCTAATAGGCAGCTACATCCAGCAGGGATCAAGCAAGTGTTTCACTTGTCAGGAGTGATTGTCACCATCTTTGTGACATAAGTCATTTCTCTAAGAAGCATCTTTTCCTTTGTGAAAGTCAATTCCAGAGGAGGAGCTGTTCTGATGTTGACGACTTCAATTAACAAGCCTGTGCTGTTGACATTTTCCCGTGTCCAATATAGAAGTCATCAAACGTTTCTCAGGATCAATGCCACTTGGTACGTGAGTTACAAATTACAATTTATATTTCCATTGACATTGGGTTAGTTCATTTACTTTCAGTTGTATTCTTAAATTCTTATTGTACTGAATGCATGTAGGTGAGAGTGCTCGATTGAGACCAAATTTGGGCGAGAACTGCCAAACTCTAATCCTAATTTTTTCCTCTTTTCTATACCCTTTCTGTTGTGATCCATGCAAATTAAGTGTCTTTGGAGATACTGTTTGTATTTTCTCTGAATTTCAGTATACGGTTTATGATTTTTGTATTATTAAACTTGGTCGTCACTTCTTTTCCATCGTTGCTGTCATTTTTTTTCTTATCTCAAATCAAAATTGTATTTGCTTATTTTGTTTTTGAAGTTAAAATGAGGCCATCGGTTTTGTCAATGTTATTCTGACTGGGTGGAATGTGTAGATTTTTAACAAGAGTGAGTATATTGGCTAATTCAAATAATGTAAGTGACATTCATCTTAAAGTTCAGTGGCAAATTGACAAAGAAGTATTTTGAATTGATTAACCATCTACTTAGAGATGCATTAACAAACATCTGCATGCACATGCATTTAGGTTGAAGCAAACTATGTTATCACATGATTGAAATCATCTATTTACATCGATAAACTTTTAATAGCACATGATTGATATGGGTAAAAATTGAATGTATCAGTTTTAAATCTTTCAACCATGTTATTCAATTGATGCCATAAATTGCCATATTTTTCAAACTGTGGAAAGGAATTTACATGCAACGTGATCAAAATGACTCCATAAACTGCTTATAAAATATCTTTTCAAATACATAAGCAAAAAGAGAGATGGCTTGTCACCATGTCTTTACTGTTGTCCAATTTTTTGCTTTTATAAAAGCTATGAATTGCTAATGGGTTTACCATTTTTTTTTTTTTGGAGTTTTCAGAATTTTGGGTCGTTGGAGGAAGAATTTGGTTGCTTGACATTTTGAGGTATATAATTTGCTATGCTTTTGTTTTAATTTCTTCAGTTGGATGGTTAATTTACACCAATGCTTTTGTTTCTATTGGTTTTTTGAAAGTTTAGGGATGTTGCTGAATCATGATAATATTATGCAAATAGAGGTTAAGTCACTTTGATAATATCATGATAATTGATGGTTATGAAACGTTAATATAATGAATTGATGTTTTGGTTGGTCTAGAATAGTGGTTCACCCGAGACATTCATGGTAATATGTGGAAATGCATTTGCATAAAGATAGAAAATTATATGAACGTTCAGATAGTTGCTTTATTCAATATGATTGCCCTTCATTTTCAAATTTTTTGAAGTGAAAAAAAAAACTACATTGACCAAGAAAAAGAATTTGTAAGACTATAATTGTTTGAAACCGATAAGTACATTAATTTATATTCTTATTTGAGCAATGGAGTTCTCAACTAAGTGATTCTTGACAAGGATCTTAGAAATATGATTAGTTTGTCAAGAGCTTCATAGAGAGCTCTTTTGTTTCTGTTTGCAAGATGATTGCATTATTAAATAAACTGCATATAATTTGGGTTGGGTTAGATCTATATGTTGGTTTAGAATGTAGACAGTTTTGATTACAGTGCTTGGAGAAATTGACACTATCCAACTTTCCTTGGGATAAGTTCTTACCCCTTCAGGCAAGTACTTAAGTTAATTAAACTAATTAGGGGAGTATGAAGTCGAGTTCGTTTTTCTGTTTCTTTAGTTCTTGCCATGATAATTTATTATTTTACTTTTTCACTCTATTTTACAGATTTGTTCGAAATCTTGCAGGAAGGAAGAATGAGGCTGTTGAAGCGCAAAATGAAAGTTTACTTTTATGCTGCTTGGCTGGATCACCATGTGAAATTTTCATTTCAAGATGTATATATATATGTTCGCAACTTTTTTATACTTAGGACAGAAATTTGAGTTTTAGCATTACAACTAAATGTCCATGGACACATGATACGAATTGGGCATGCAGGAATGTCAAATTTAAAATGGCATGAGTTAAGGTTCACTTATACAGTTGAATGTTCTCTTTGGGCGCGCACAATTTTTCTTAAACTTGGTTTGGTTTTCTACTTTTGTTTAGATATGGAGTGACGGAGTCACAGTTCGACCGATTCTTAAACGATGAATTGAGCTAGATCATTGAGGTCTCTCTTAGTCAAGTTAAATTTTCTTTCTAATTCTTTTAAGGTCGTAGTGGAAGCTATCGGCCATGTTCACCGTAAGCAATATCTTTCATTGCTTTTCGATTAAGCCCACTGATTCACCGGAAATTCCCAAAATCATAGGCAGCGCTTCAACTTCCTTAGATTCTCCTCCAGTTCAAGTAAATTTACTATTCCTCAAATTTTTAGGCTAATTTTCAATCTTTCTGCTTTTGGATTAGGGAGTTTCTACTTCCTTATTTGTGCTAATTTGTAATCTCTTGGTAGATCTTTACCTCTATTTTTACTTCCTCTCTTGATTATTTTTTCTGGCTGTGTTTTTTATGAAATGTTCATGGTAAATAAGTTTCACTCCTGAAAGCTTATTAGTATCCGCTTTGCGGCAATATATTTTGTATCAAAAATTTGTTCTTTAAGCTAAAAAATTCAAGGATGTCCTGGATTAAATGCGTTTTCTTTGTTTGCTATCAGGGTTTTGTGTGATTGTTTATTTTTGGCTATGGAGTTGCGTAGTTTAAGTTTGCGTATCAAAAAGGCGATGTTTTAATCTTTCTTAATACTTCCCATTTGCATTTGTGGACAAGCACAATTGAGGGAGGTGACATTGCAGGAAGAGAATGTTGTATATGAAAGGGCAATATCGTGTGAAAACAAAATACATGAGAAAATTCAAGAGCAGATTTGCTGAAGAGGAAGCTTAATGGTGAGACTTGAGTATATCGTATTTTTGTTAATGGGAGACCAACACTCTTTCCGAAAATTTATGATTTTTGTTATCAGGAGATGGAAGAGAATGAAAGGAATTTGAGATGTGAACTCTGTTTGGATCAAATCTTGAACTTTGGGCTCAAGGAAGGAGCTGGCCCGAAAGGAGGCCCAAAGGGAAAAATAGCCAGAGCCCAGTCAAAGCCCAGAAGGCAGGAAAAGGCCTTTTCTGACTTGGTGCAGCTCATGAAGACCACTTGCTTACCTACCCAAAGGCCAAGTGGTGTAGACTGATCAGCTACACAGCCCATAAAGCACTTTATGGTGGCATTACATGTAAAATAGCTGATGAGTCATCACCCTCAAACCGCATTCGGGCAAAGCTGCTGCTACAGAAGGCCAAGCCGAGTTGTCTATATAAGAAGAAAGAAAATCCAGGAATAAGGACACTCAATCAAACAAACAAATGCAAGCACAAACTCTGCTCAAAGTCAGATTTGCCTTCAAAACAAAGCTGTAGTCAGCCTTCATCCCTCTCGGGACAAGCCTTCATCCCTCGCGGGATAACTCTCCCTCCAAACCTTTGTAATAGCTCTGCTACCCTGTTCAACCTTGCTGTAGTATCGATTCATCTTTTGTAATCTCTTTCTCTATCCCTCTAAAGCTTTCAGACCCTTGACAAAACTACAAAGATAGGAACTTACAAGACGAGCAGCCTTACCCGATAAGGTTTAACCTTGCCCGACCTTCTTTGCTTTGTTTTTGTCTTTTCAATATGTTGTATACATCCAGTTATATGCAAGTTATTTCTAGCAATATGACTATTAAAAGGCTTTCTCAATACTTGAATCCGATTTGAATATATCTTAAGTGTTCAAACCAGATCCAAGTCCTAAGCCCTCGGGCATGTAAATCTGATCAGTGAAAAGTCCTTGGCCTCAAGGCATAAAAAAGAACTTTATGTGGACTTAACCCATCCACGACAGTCCTTGATAAACGAGAAGTCCGAAGTTACTTGGGCGCAAGTAATCGACCTACCCTCTAGTTTTATTTCTATTATATTATGATTACCATAGAACGCTTGAGCATGGAATGGATTCTGATGGAAAGCCTCAAGGCCTACACCTAAGGCCCCACAAAGGCATCCATTTGGATTCATTCCGTTCTGCGATCTAGAGAGTTTAAGTATAAGAATGAACTCTGATGGGAAGCCTCAAGGCCTATACCTAAGGCCCCACAAAGACACCTATTTGGGTTCATTCTACTTAGACTCGGGTAATCAGAGGTATAATAGTTAGAAAACTCCGGCAATCATGAGAACAAATATGATGTGTTCGGGCACTGGTTTAGTTATTTATGGGAAGCCTCAAGGCCTACACCTAAGGCCCCACGAAGGTACCTGTGATAACTAACACGGTTTCTCGAATATATACATATATACAACTAAAACTCGACATCCATTTCACATCTGCCATGCTGAAGATGGCAGTGGCACGCCTGAGCACCTAAAAGTTAACCTTGATTGTGAGCCTCAAGGCCTACACCTAAGGCCCTACAAAGGCACCTCTCAAAGTTAACTCTGTCATTCTTTTTCAGCCTTGCCCGACAATCTTTGCCCGAAGAGTCTTGCCCGACGAGACTTGCCCGACGAGGTTTGCCCGACAAAGCCCGACAGCGAAGCAGAAGCCCGACAGCAGCCCTCAACCGGCGCCAACCTCCAGGGGAGCTATGTGCTTGTCGGCCAGGAAACATCCCCGACGGAAATTCCTGACGCGAACAAACTCAAAAATGTACAAACCGCATTGGATGCCAGTCGATCTGGTCAATCAGATGAATCCATTTCTGATCCGAAGACGACAGTTGAAACCGAAAATGACGTAGAAGCTTTAAAGAAGGCTATACTTGAAAAATTAGAGGAGAGGAAAAATGAACTGGTCGGTTTCATTTTTGCTTTCGATCTTACAATTGTTTCGTCTTCGTTCATTGCAAATGTGTTTGTATTTTGAATTTATTTTATCCCGATTACTGAAAAGATGTTGTGATCTCTTAGAGTTCAATGGAAGCACTCGAATCGATTGTGCGAATTTTATGATAAATTATGCATTTTTGGGTTTGAATCTTTGCTTGGTGAATGGAGATTGATTTCTCTGTTTCTTCGTTGCCGATTGAGGTGCTCTCATGGCTTCATCGGAGAAGGTTGTGCATGCTGCTGGTATGCTTGCTGTCGTTTCTCACACTGTTAATTGTTTTTTTTTTTTTTTGTTGATTTGATTAACTGTACAAGCATATCTTTTCTGTGTTTATTATTTCTTTGGTGTTTAATTTTGTTTGAATTTCTTAATTTGTTCAAAGGATGCTTTGGTTAGTAGCCACTTTCTATGTTTTTTATTAACTGCTAAAATAGATGTCTGCCCTACAGGGCATATATTTTGCCATCTTAACTACAAGGGAAAAATATATGTGAACTGCATGTTGCTTCTGTTTCTTATGGAAACAAAACATTTTTGGTGACCACGTCTTTGTGATCAAGAATGTTTAGTTTCATTCTACTAATTGTACAATGTTTTTACATGTTAGGTCAGTTGAATGTATATAAAAGCCAAGCTGCTTATCTTATCGACCTCATTCACTCATGTGTCCCTATGTTCATTCATGATTGTGTTGAATTTATTCAAGTTAAATGTGTCTTATTCATGCAATTACGCCTGATGCATTCAGTTCCCGCAGCTACGCGCGGGCGTATTTTATAGTTTAAATCTATTTGAGAGGTGAGATGAAGTGATTTGAGTTGATTCTGATTTAGTCTTTTGGATGTGGGTGTAAGATGAAATTGAGTTAATTTAGGCAGTGTTTTTTGCTTTGGTAAAACAAGATATTAGGCTTATCAGTTCTTCATGAATATCCTTCCATTTGAAGGGGAATTTTGTATAATTATCTTGTACATTATAGGGAATAGTGCGCGTAGTAGTGCGCAGTCAGGCAAGGCTACGAAGGGGGGACCGAAACTACCTATAATGTCGACTACACCTCATGGACAGGCAGACCTGCAAAAATGCTCAACCCTTCCTCATATTTGGGAGGGCACTCCCAACGAAGCCTCTCGAAATACTCAGCTTTCTTTCCCCCCGATAATACCTCTACAAACAAGCTACACCAGAGCAAGAATATCTCATATCATCAGGGTTAAAAGCAAGAGTATCCCATATCATGCTTTTTTTCCTATCTTTTCCTTTGGCCTTGTTCTTACCTGCAAGACAAGGAGAAAGAGAGCAATCAGTCAGCACTTGGAATCAAGCTTCCAGTCAGGAACTGACTGCCTGGAACCCCTTACCTGATTACTTACCTGGCATTGCTCTCGAGTACTCATCTTCAACATCTTATGCTTCCAGAGAAGATACCACATCTGCTTGAGGAACATATAGGGAAAGTGAGAAGGATACAAGGAAGTATGTGGAGACAAGTGTAATAGAACACGTGCCGATACATCCACTACTTTGTCAACAGCAAAAGTATCCCATATCAGCAGGGTCGAACGTACTCTAGATTTGATGGACTTGTTTTGACCCTCAAATTCTTCAGTCGGCCTTATACTCTAGAGGAAACCAGAAAAATCCTCCAGCCAGTTCAAGAATAAGCCTGTGGAAAGTTACTTCTTCAAAAGCAAAAGTATCTCATATCATCTATTCTCCTTTTCTTCTCTTTATCCTTCATGCTGCCTGCAAGATAGAGAGAATGAGAACAATCAGCCGGAACTCGAAATCAAACTTCTGATCTGGGACTGATTGCTTGGAGCTTTGATTGCTTACCTTGTATGTCACCTCTTTCAGCAGATCCCCTAGCTCGGCGACTTGGGGGACTCCTACTACATGGTTTGTATCGCGCTTGACCAAGCCTGAAACTATAAGTAAGCTTCAAGTGAAATTGATACATTACCTTGTGCATCTCCACCAGTTAAAATACCACCCCTGGATGGAGGAAGAGTACTTCTAGAGAAGATGCCACATCTACCTATGAGACAGATAAGGCAAGTGAAGACGAGAGCTTGAACCTATGTCATTTGTACTAAATCATTCACTTGTACTCACTAAAGGAAAGCTTGAACGTATGTACTTGTGTAAACCCTTCACAATTAATGAGAACTCCTTTACTCCGTGTA